CTGGTCTTAGGTTTGAAAACATTTGTGGGTCATTTGGAATATGCTGATTCGTCCCTCTGTCCAACAATCAAGTGGGATTTTTTTCAGTTAATGTTGCTGACATGGAAAATGTTGGTTGTGTAGCTCTACAATCTTGTCTCGCTGCTCTTCTGTTTCTCCTCTCAGGGCAGCGTCTCTGGAGATGCTCTGTAGAACCACACTTGAAGCAGTGTTTCACTACACAAACATTCTCGGCTACTCTTTGGATGTTGCAGTTGTAGGCCTGTTCTGTGTGTTGTCATCACCTCTCTGCTGGTTTTCCTGCCATTTCTGTTCCTCCTCCAGCAACTGTCCAGTAAAATAACTCATGGTTAAGTTGTTCTCTTGCATGGACGCTAAACTGGTCACTAGGACATCCCATGAATTGTCCAACGAACTGAGCATCACATATATCTTATGTGCCTCAGTAAAAGTCATTCCTCTTTCCTCTAATTTTAGGAATGTCTTTCTCATGGACTGCAAATGCATAGACATGCTCTCTCCCAGTTTCAGTTGGGCCTTATATAGCTTTCTTGTCAGCATTACTTTGCTGCTCGCAGTCTCTCTCATGTACACTATGCATAAAGCTTCCCGTACTCTTTAGCAGACTGGAGATCCTTCATGTGTATCAGTTGGCTCTCCTCCAAACTCAGGATTATGCTGGCCAATGCTTTCTCATTCTTTCTTCAGTCCCCATCATCCAGGGCTGCAGGTGGATCAGCAACTATTATCCACAACTCCTCCCTTCGCAGGTACATCTCCATTTTCAGACTCCAGGAGAGGTAGTTTGTCTCATTCAGACGAGATATTACGAAACCTCCTCCCATTACGCTGATGGAGTCCATGTTGCCTGCTACCACCACAAACCACAAGCCTTAATTCCTCTGGCTCTGGGTCAAGCTCTCACTGGGTTTCTCCTCTCTCTGGGCCCATAACCTGTCAGAGCATGCACAATCTTATTGCGCAAGGTAACCCAGGAGTAAAAACAGTAAACAGTTTATATTAAATAGTGGTTTAATCTTACATTATCTACAACATCATACACCAGGAACAATATACATACACGTGCTAATACAACAGGATCCAACAAACCACAATTACAGCAGGAAATGGAAGAGAGAGAACACAGCAACAGAGCTCAGCTGGCTCTTAAAGGGACATAGACCCTGCTGAGTTATTCCCATCATTACATCATATATTACATCAGCTGGTTAGCTTCTAAATTATTATCTTGACAATAACCATTCATTTAGTGACCTTTCAACATTACAACAGCACTGAAAAAAGTGACTTATGATCATTTTTTACACTTACAACATGTATTTATGATGGTTGGAGTGTCCCGGAGTCATGTGATCACTTTTTGCAATCCTCTGACAAGCAAAGTCAATGAGGAAGCCAGATTCACTTAACAGCCAAGTTACTAACTTAGCAGCTGCAGTGATTCACTTAACTGTGGCAAGAAAGATTGTAAAAGGAACAAAACTCACTTAACAATTGTCTTGCTTAGCAATGGAAATCTTGGGCTCAATTGTGGTCGTAAGTTGAGCACTACCTATATCAGGACCCTACCAAATAATATGTTTGGAGAAGTGTTGAAGCATACTTTCAGTGATCTTGTTGTTATTAATGATTATGTGGGTGATGTAAATAATGTGGCGCTGTGCCAGTGACACATGAGGTAACAGCATTCCTTTCTGCTAACTTTCTGTGAAATTGAAAGTACAGATGGTCCTCAACTTAGGACCATTCATTTAATAACAGCTTGAAGCTACAAGGGTCTCGGAAAAAGTGACTTGTGATCCAGCCTCAACGTTAAGACCATCGCATGATCCCCACGGTCACTTGATAGCAATTTCAGTGCTTGGCAACCAGCTCACGTTTATAGTGCTTATGTGTCCTTTTATCATGTGACTGTGATTTGTGACCTTCCCAGGAGGCTTTCAACAAGCAAAGTTAATTGGGGAAGCTGGATTTGCTTAATCGGTAATTTGTTAACAACTGCAGTAAAAATAATTGTAAAATTGGAGACAGTCCAAAAAGAAAGCAAGAAAAATGAAATCTGCTGTATGAAAACAATAAAAACTGAGGATTCAAATCTTTGTTTTCCTGTAGGATTGCATTCCTGGCAGGGATGGTGAGGTAGGTAGGTAGGTAGGTAGATAGATTTATTCAATTACTGCAGCTGCCCATGTCAAATCTGTGACTCTAAGTGCAACATAGTCATTAAAAACAAATCATTAAAAGAGGTACAATACAGTCACTGGGGAAAGCACGGACATTCAAGAACAGTACATCCATTTTATGAGCTCCACACCACTTTCTGATCAGGCCAGATGACAAAGCTAGTCCTTCAAGTCCTTGTAGAAGGCCAGCAAAGTCAAGGCCAGCCAGACCCCAGGGGGGAATGATATTCCGTTGGGCAGGTGCAACAGCTGATACAGACCTTCTCCTGTGTACCACCAGATGACATTCTCTAGTGGATGGAACTCACAACAAGTCTCTTCTGTTGGATTTGATGGGAGTAGTAGATGTCACTGGAAAGAGGCGGTTCTTCAAATAACCCGGCCCCATGCCATGTAGAGCTTTATAAGTTATTACTGGCACCTTGAATTGGACCCATAAGCAAAGTTGGGTTTGGTAGTGAAGGTGTTGGCTGCGTTCTAGTCCTACCTTAGACATGAAAGCTGCTGGGTGACTTTGGTCCAGTCACTCTCTCAGCCCAACCCATTTCATGAAGTTGTTGTCGAAGGAAACAGAGGAGGAAAGGGTATTACAGAATATTACATACTTAATGCTTTGAGTTACTTAGAATAAAGGTGGGATAAAATCTAATAAATAAAATAGGTAGTCAGTGTAGCTTGTGGAGCAGAGGTATAATATGTGTAGTTCTAGGTGCACATATAAAGGCCCACCTAGTTGCATTTTGCACAAACAAGATTCACTATGACAGAGTTGATAGGAGTTATTTATTCGAAGATATACTTCTTTTCTGTAGAAAGTTAAGGATTATTGAAAGATGCAGGCCATGAGTATTACATATCTATTTCTAATCAAAGTAGTTCTAAAGATGAATGTTAAAATGATGCAGAAGCAACAGCTAAGAGGGAAAAAGAGCTGATTTCTTTCTTTTATACCTGGCCAGTACATCAAAGAACACTACGGTTCTATAAGAGTTTCATAAGAGGTCTGGCTTCTAAGTAAGGTTGTGTAAGATTAAATTGCAGGCCTTCTGTAGCAATCAGGGAATTAAGGTCAGCTAGTGCATTTTATATCAGAATTGGGATCTGTTTTATACATCTAAATTGTTGCCCTGGCCAGCATAGCATACTAGGTCAAAGAATTTGCAGATTTTTAGCTGTAGTATTTATGTGTGGTCTGTAACAAAACCTTTGCACTTTTTTTCTTTCTTCTGATTTCTTAATTGGACTATTTTTGTTTGAGCTTCCAGGCAATAACCTCCCCAAGCACACCATTTTATTCTCATTTTTCTTCTCCAGACATTCTACATTCCATTATTGCTGAGCATGCTGAGTTTTTAATTGGAGTTATTTACCCCACTTAGGAATTTGCTGCTTAATTTTTAATTTTTTAAAAAAATGCCTTAAATGCCTTCCTCTTCTTTCTTAGGTGATCCATGTTGTATATAGTGCTAGATAATCAGAGCCCAGAGTGGTAGTCATTCCTTCAACGGTTATGTGAAAGACATGTGAATCATGCTTCGTAAATGAAAATTCTTTTTTCAATAGTATAATAAAAAGATTTTCTGCACTGTCTCTCTGAAGTGTGTATGCCATTACACGTTTTTCTGTTTTGGTAGCCTAATATGACCTGTTATAAGGAGGAAATATTTGGACCAGTCCTAGTGGTTTTGGAAGCAAACAATCTGGATGATGCAATTGAAATAGTGAATAATAATCCTTATGGGAATGGAACAGCAATCTTCACCACTAATGGTGCCACTGCCCGGAAATACTCCCATTTAGTGGATGTTGGACAGGTAAATAAATAAAAGAGGATCTCTTATGTAGAACTTGTTAACACCAATAACTTGAAGAACTGTTGACAGTTTTGAATAAAACTAGATGGATCAATTTCCTAATGTTCTAATTTTTCAGATAACTTGTAAAATTTAAATGAAAAGTGACATATATAGGCCTCCCAGTTTTATATTAGTATATAATTATAGTGAGAAGATTCATTCGTTTGTTTGTTTCTTAGACTTGCTGCACTGCTTAAAAATGAGTTGCATCAATAATATTGCATTGCAGACTACACTACTGTTTTTCTCTCTTATTTGGCTACAGTATTTGCCATTTATTGATGGCGAACTGAGAGCCAAATTAAATGAAATGTGAAATAATTTTTTACATTAAACAAGAACATATTTTCATTTAGATTGGTGTGAATGTTCCTATTCCGGTGCCTTTGCCAATGTTCTCCTTTACTGGCTCCCGTGGATCTTTCAGGGGGGATACCAATTTCTATGGCAAACAGGTAAGTGTTGTTTTTTTTTTAAAAAAAATATATTTATGTTATTGTGTCTGTGAAATGGAATGTGGAAGGGCTGTGCTTAGTAGCATACTGTATTTCATAGCAAACTTGCAGTGGTTTGTCTCATGTTTTTTTTTCTTAAGTTGCAGTAATTTTTCATCATAGGCTGACATAAATTCTATACCTTAGTATCTGTTTCTTTCAGGGGGTGCAGTTCTATACACAGCTGAAGACAGTTATTTCCCAATGGAAGGAGGAAGATGCCACCGTTACCAAGCCTGCAGTAGTTATGCCAACCATGGGGAACTAAAGCCAACTGATATACTTGCTGGAGTTGTATTTTTCATCTGGGATGGTGCGGGGTATCCTTGAGTTGCCAGTCTTGCCCTGGAAATATAGATATGTCTTCATTTCAGGATCATCTTTTCTAATGAATTGAATAGAGCCTTTTAACACAAGATTTAAATTCTATCCATATATGGAATATCTTTTTTTTTTTGTAGAAGAAAACATTCTCTGTGATGAGTAATCAGGCCAAAGCAGTATCTGCTTCATTTGCTTTTGTCCTATTCATGAGATAATGTTGAAAATTCAAGTTCTTCCTAGAGAATTAGTTTTTGGGAAAGCAGTTGCTGCAACAGTTGATATCACTCTGTTTATGGGTGATATATTCTATTGCTTTTAAGATTTTTTTGCAAAAAAATCCTGCATATGCTGGAATGATTGTGTCTCATACTAGGATGGGCAAGTAAATTTTGGGAGAGGCAAATCCAGGAGAACTATCCTGCAAGCATTTCATAGAGCTGTTTTGAGAGTATGGCCTTGTGGAGAAGCAGTGAAGCCTTACCATCACTAGAATTTAGTCATACAAAATCATACAAAATTTAGTCATACAAAATCAACAAATTTTAATTTTATACATGAATGTGCCTACATACTATTTATGCACTGAGTATATTTGGAACTAGATGTGTTTGAGCTTTGTTTTAAATAGTGCTGAACAAATGGCCCAAGAAAGTAACGTATTTTTATAGAGGCAATATATTCTATCTATATTGCTTTAATCTGATTATGATATTTTTCATTAGCCAAATATATGTGGAGAAGGTAGATTCTAACACTAGTTACAAAGACATCTGTGATTTTATATACTTGAGTATACATATTATTGATCTTGAGATCTCTGAGTTGTTCAGTTGTTCATAAGTGTATCACTCATAGCTAATTCATACATACTATATTGCTATATAGTATGTATGGATTAGCTATGAGTAATACACTTATGTCAAATTTAGAGATAAAGGATGATACAGTGATGCTATTTTGGGACTACATATGATCTTCACATAGAGTTTTTAAAAAATTACAAAATATTTCCTTAAATTTGGAAAATGCGCTATTGCTTTCTATTGTCTAATCAAATTAGCTTTTGTACCTAACAGGTGCTTAAAAACTGATCATTATTACCTGAACAGGTTATTCATCCATATGCTTGAAAGTTGCATATTGGTGTTAATCATGAATAAATGCCACTAAATTCAAAAGCCTTTTGGTTTTCTTCAGACTAATAATCTAATAATAGAAATACTTCTAATACTAAATCAAAGTATAAACATTGGTTATTATTTGAACATGATACTAAATCATGTCTTAGTTCAAAGACAACAATGAGGTTTGTGAATGTTTTGAAATAATCGTTGGACACGCTGGTTGAAATATAGAAAGCAAGTAAAAAGCTTAGATGAAAATAAAAAACTGCCTTTAAGAAACATCAAAGTTGTCAGACTGTGCCACTGGTATTCTACCTCCTGATATTCCTATGTGAGAGATTCAGTATATAAATCTGAAAAAAAAAAATTGTTCATCTGTATGTCATACTAGACAACCCCTGACCCACTGGATAATCCTTGGAGATATTTTCTTACCAGAATCATTACTTTTTTTCCACAAAAAATGCTTTTAAAATAGTTGCAAACATATTTTAATCAGTTTTATTCAAGAATACACAACCTTTCAAATAACTTCTTAAACAAATGAATTGATGTGTAGACATTTACTTTTTGAAGAAAACCACGAATTATTTCTTTAAAGAAACAATTCTGTTATCTTTCAAGTTGACCTGATGTAAAGCAAATTGTGATGCACAAAATCAGTGCTTTCATTGCTGCAGCATGATTAGCCTTACACATCTGAGTAAATGTTGAGAAAAGAAGAATTATAATTTCAGCGGTCTGTGATTAGTATCCATGCTAATCTACTCGGGTGGTATAAGATGAATATCTGGGAGGGGTGATGATTTATGAGATGATTCAGATAGTGGTGCCTGCTGAGTGATGAAAGCATAGACAGGAACAGTATCACCTCTGTAAAAGATAAACCAGGGAAAAAAATCAGGAGTGATATATATTCAGTTGTCCTCTGTATCTTAGCCTAAGATTTCAAATGTCATCAGGAATACAGCTATATTTTTATTCTTGGAACAAAAAATTCTCAGGTTCTAACTCCATTTATGCAAGTTTCCCCTTAGGAGTTGCTCTTTAGGAAACTTGACTTTAGAGAATGAATCATAATTAACTGATAGCTAAACTTCAAAATAATTATTACTGCTACACAGACATTATTGCAAGTATAAACAATACCAGAAAATGAAAAACAAAAATGGGTAAATATATTTCAATTACTGTACCTATTCGACATATTTAGTGCTAATGCATTCTCTTAATAATAATAATTCAGAAAGCTATTATTCAGAAATTTTCCCTCTCCACTAAAATTTAGCATTTCCTTTCTCATCATTAGGGCTTGCCACAATAGTTCCTTTGTTCAACAAAAAACGCAACTAGATCCTAGAAGTATTGTGCCCATTCTTAAGGCCAAGGAAATGTCCAGACCTTATTTATTTTTCCTTTTTATTTCCAACCCTACTAAGTGTTGGAAAAAAATTATGTAAAGGATTTTTGGTCTCCATCCAAGGTTAGATCCCACAACAAAGTGAATCAAATTTAGTGTGGGGAAGTAAAAGACAGGATGAATTCAAAAGTGGGCCTCTTTAATAAATTATAATTTGATGCAATTTAATAAATTGTAATATAATATAATTTAATAAATTTGGATAATTTATCTCAACTTATTCCTAGAGGAAAAACAATTGGGCAGCAGCTAAAATATTGCCAACTCCCCACTGTCAGTTCCCCATATTTCTCCATTCAGAGTGTAATCCAGAGTGAAAATGTTATTAAGAAATGTTAAGAATTGCAGATAACTAGGCTTTGGGTGCTTTCTCTATTTTGATTACTGTAGCAACACAAATATATATTATCTTTAATAGATTATGTGTGTGCATCTATTCCTTTTCGGCATCCAATACAAAGAAGAACTAAAAGCAGGTTGTTTTAATACATGCATCAGAATAGCCCTGCACTGATCTTTTCTCACCATAGACCTATAAATAAACTGAATACTTCATACTTCTGCCAACATTTCTAGGGTCTATATTGTGTTTTATAGAAAGTATGTCTAGTTATCTTGAAAATTGTAATATAAATATAAATAAATATAAATAATTGTAATATAAATATAAATAATAATCACACACATGCAACAGCCAGATGTGCATAAACATCATTCTGACACAAATGTTATCTAAAGTAGTAATAAAATATTTATATTAGTTAGATAAAAGATTTTGTTGGGAGAAAAAATATCCACAATGCACTCTGCAGATAAACATCAAACCAGAGTCAGACAAAAAACAAAAAACTCATCCCTTGGAAGTAATATACAGTATATAAAGTATTAGAAAATTAATAATTAATACTAATTAATAAATAGATGTACTCTCTTACTCAGATGCCTTTGTTTCTGCAAAATTAAAATTGGTTGGTGTTACTGGAACCAAAACTTGACTGTATTTCCTATAAAACAAATTACAGAATAAGTGACAAGTTAATGTGGCATGAATTATTATTTTTTATTTGCAAATTATAATCCTTGTTGCAAGAATTGAATGAAGTAAAAAAAATGATGTATTTTTTCAGTTTCAGGATTTTGTTTGAAACTTTTATCACTGATTTGGTAAACAATAATCAAAGGTTTTATAATCTGCAAGGAAATGGAATCAATATGATAGAAGTGTCTCCTCCATTCACAAAATAGCAAAAATGTCTCTGATCTCTACTAGAAGAGCTATGTTCAAGATGGTAATGTGTCATGATCAACGTAAATAATACCTCAAGTTGTTATATAATTATTCAACAGGTAGATCTTCTGAATGACCCATTCCGAACTGTCCTTTATTACTTCATCCATTTTTTGAGACTCTGATATAAACAATTCTCTGTACACTTTCAGTTAACATGACATGCAAATGGCATGCAAATTTCATCAAGACAACAGTGATAAAAGCCACTTCCATTTAAAAGTTAAAGGCATGGATTAGGACCAAGGAAATCCATGTGCAAATGGAAGTTCAGTGGGTGGCTTTGCGCCAGTCACTTCTCTTAATCCAACTCATCTCACCAGTTTGATAGGGGGAAACACGAGAATGAGAGCGTGCTACACTGCCTTAATTATCTGAAGAAATGCCAGAATTATAAACCTTATAATAAATAAGTAAATAATCTGAATCTTGTGTTCAGAGTCATATTTTCCCACCAGATTGGCTCATGGAAACAAAGATAAAACTTAATTTCGGGCAGGAAATACAAAACTTGCATTTTGAAAGTATTTAGATGTTATTAGACAAAAAATATTTCAGTTTGTAATCTATAATTCTGCAAAAAGGCTCTGCCAGTTCTAACACTTTATAGGACCTTGGCCATAGCTTCAGTCCTGCACAAATCAGAATCCATCTCTGTTTAGAAATCCCCATGAAGAACAGTATCTCAGGAAAGCATTTTTAAAAAATTCCTAAAACTACTTATTTCAAGAATCTTGATGCCAATTTTTCAGATCTTTTTTACCTGCATACATGTTATGGGGAGCAATAACATACCAAAAATTGTATATGTAAAATATAATTGTAATATTTTGCATGGATTCTTTTATGATTCAGATTTTTTAATTTTGCCAATTTTCTTTTTATAATCTGAATTTTCTAAAATCAATATGTAATTTGTGTATCTAAAAATAGTCCAGGCAAAGGTGAGGCAATGCATGACATTTTTAACAATCTACATATCCTTAATGTGATGTACGGGATATAATTTTAATAAATTACTAAACATTAATTGTTCATAAATAAACAAGGCTCCTGGTGTTAATTCCATAGCAAATAAAGACCAGCCTGATACTCTTCATTAGTAATCCTTTCTCTTTTATTTTCTTCTTTCATTTTTGTTCATGTAACTACTACTAGTTTGGTTAAGATAAGATCAAAGAAACCATATACTGAATTAACTTGTTATACAGCTCCACGCACTCTTCTTTAGCAATTGTTTGTGACATAATGTTAAACCAACCATGAATTAATTCAAAATGTGAACCAATCACTCAATGACACTGATATTCTATACAGCTCACTATTGGTAATAAATGTTAATTATAATAGATTTTCTTTTACAACTGTCTATACTAATTCAGTACTCTATATATAGTTAGCTACGAATGAAAATTACATCTATCACTCATAGTCTCTCTCTGCTTTGAAACGTTGATTTCTAAATATAAACGCACATCTCATTAACAAGCAACCGTATATTTTTCTGATGTTCATTTTCTAGTTATTCACATAGCAGTGAATAAGAAATATACAGATGAAAATGTTTATAACAGTAGTCATATTTTAAACTGAATAGCCATCTTTTTTGTAGTAGTAATTTTCCCTATTTCAAATTTAGCATATATGTAATAAGCTAGGAAATAAGGAACTACAACCTGGATGGATCCTACAACTCTAAATAATTAAATAGTATTTTACCTGTGTCTTAAGCCATTCATTTTTGCAAACAGTAACCTCAATACTCTTTCCTTCTGCTCCCAGGTCAGTTCAGAAATGTCCACCTTCCCCTTCTGAATATTTGTCCTATACATATACACAAAAATATCATGAATCAAAGTTCATCAGTATAAACCTGCAATTATGAATGTTTATGGCATGATCCTATATAATACATTTATTTATTATCACCCTCCACCTTAAAAGTTACTCAACTTGGAGAGGGTGATAATACAGGCAGACTGTTAGGAAGAACTAAGATATTTGGATAAAAAGCTATCGGTTTCTGTTTCTATGTACTCTGCCTGCATTTCAAATTATATAGAGCAAATCAGTAAATAAAATTAATCTAGCTGGCTCCACTAAAGATTAATTACCAACCGGTAATCAACACCTGCATACATTTTATGTAGAGATTTCATTAATATTGCTAGTTTCATACATCATCTCTATATCCTAAAAGATGGAAGATGGTAGAAAGATTAAGTTACAATGAATTTTTTTTAGTAAATTATAGCTAACAACTACCACAATGTGTCATGTAATTTTTTCCTTCTCAGTTTTTCTACCTAAACTTCCTTATGTCTTTCAAAAAATGAGATAGTAGGGTAGTCAAGACCAAGTAGTCTTAAGGGACACATTTTCAAGTAGTACCTTCTGGAGACTTTTCTAGAGGTGTTTTTAAAGATGTTGATACATTAATGGCAGATCTAAAAGGTAGATCACCCCAGAATCTACTACTTCGATGAGATTACCTAAAGAAGTAGTACTTGCTACAGAGATATCTATACAAATAGTCTTCATTTAGTGACTACATATGGGACTGGCATCTTGATCATTAAGCAAAGCAGGTGCTAAGTAAAATTACAACTGTGCTTATAGTCTTCCTTCAGCTTTCCTTTGTTTTACAGACCTGCAAAGGACATAAATGTGAGAACTAGTCTCAAAGTTATTTTTTTTTCACTGTTGTAACTACAAATGGTTGCTGTCCGAAGCAATTGCTATATGAGGACTATCGTACTCTTTTTGACATTGTTAGTGATCTTAGGGTGGTTATTTGATCACAAAAATTTTCCACTTGGGATAACATATCTTTAATAAGAATTTAATTGGTGATGAACTTCGCATGCCTATCCCTTAATATTTAAAATCTTAAAACTTATGAAAAAGCCATTTAAGTGCATAATCATGCAGTCCTGGGCAGTAGTACTATCCAAAAACAGACTACCTAGAATGAATCTTGGTAATCCAGGAAAACTCAAAGATTTATTTTAAGGCACACTATTCCATTCTGTCAGGACGTGATTTTTGTAGGATATAAAAATAAGTATTTGCAAAAAAGCAAACACTTGACTAAACATATTTAAATTTAAATTTTACCTACTCAGATTTTCAAACACTTTCAATACATTTTTCTTAAGAGAAAATTGAAAAATGTGCTTTACACAACGATGCTGGGGTCAAAACAAAATTAGTATATTTCAACCTTTGAAATCTGATATTTCACTGGATCAGAACTGCCTGTAGCATATTAAAAATGATAAAGTTATAGTAAAATACATAATAGAAAAATGGCATTCATTTTGTCTCTTATATGAGTATCCAGAAGTCTGAAAGTATAATTGGAATATATTCAATTCCCAGAGATCAAAACCTCATATTACATTAAATAGCCACAAATCACTACAAATCATTCCACCACATGTACCATTTCTCTGCTTCCAAAAGGTCCATTTGCACGCTATTTGTGCTATGTGCATTGTCATTAAATGTTCTGATTTTGGGGTAGTCCTCTTTCCCTGCAAATGCTGCCATCATTTTCCTTTGATAGGCGGCTTGAGCCACTTGCTTGTAACACTTCCTGCTGCTTATGATCTCTTGTCTGACTTGCTCCAGAGCATCTAAGAAGAATTTCTCCACTTCTGTCCTTTCATTCAAGATGTTCCTGGCTAATTTCTTCACTCTACTCATTTCTTTTTCTTTCATTTCCAGCAGCTGCTCCAGCTTTCCGATTTCTGTCTGACCTGCTTGGTTCTGTACCAAAGCCTTCTCTTTTGTTTTTTTTATTTCTATTTTAAATTCTCCAGCCATATAATTAACTGCTTCTTCTAGTTTTTTAACCTTGTTTTGAAGCTCCTGGATTAGTGCTTTCTGCTGAGTAATTTGGAGAATCTTCTTCTTAATTAAAAGGTCTTTGGTTTCCTTAAAAAACAAGGAACAAGGGAGACAAAAACAATGGTAAACATTAAAAGATCGTTTTTAATAATCAAAATGGTAAATAAGAATTGGTCAAGAATGTATTACTGAATGTACTATTTGCCAGTCCTATTTCATGTGTTTGTAGAATGTGTCTTCTATCAATGCTGAATCTTTCTAGATAGGATGTAACATTATTAGATATTTATTCTTTGGAACAAAACTACTGTAGCTTCCCTGCTAACCAAATGGTAATTAAAAGAGTGATTGTTCAACTGAAATAAATGTTAAAGTCAAATATCAAAGGCAGTGTAACTGCACTTTGTCTTATTTTTCTGAACCCTATGTGGAGCTAAAACAATGATTGGCTCAAATTCACTTCCATGGCTGAAGATGGATTTGAAGCTGGGTCACCCCTGTGCCAGCCACAGCCTACAGAATACTAGTTTCAGAGAACAGTCATAGGAAGCATTATGTGACCATCTCCTATTTGTGAGCACCACAGAGTTATGTAGTTGTTACTGTAACAAACAAAGTGCAAAATTAAGATTGCTTTGAACTGTAGCCTGAGCTAGCAGAGCCATTTCTTTTAATTCTGTTACCTATAACAACAACTCTATTTAAACTTATTTTGAAGCTACCTTGATTAAATAAATATTGTAAGTAATGCCATATTCATTTCCAAATCTCAACAGAATCACACACACAAATGGTTTTCAATAAGAGGCTAAGAGAGGCTCTCTCAAAAATTGCCAAACCATTTACATAAAATTTTCAGCTTCCCAAGATATGCCAAATGATAAATTCCTCAGTGTCTCTGTTTAGAAAAACTGTATTGCTAAAAACTTTCTGAAATATGATTTAGATCTTATTTATCAAAGAACAAAAGAGGAAGAATAAAAACCTTTTCCTGCAAGAGAGAGGCATTGCTTTTCTCCAATTTTTCCTTGACTCTTTCTAACTCTTCTGTCTCTTTCATGTGATAACCAACAGCCTCTTGAAGACGAACATTCTCTGTAAAAACTGCTCGTCCAGCATTATCCAACTGTCTGAATAAGAGCAAAATAATCCAGTATTAAATTTTCTGACCTAATTCTTAATAAAATGTAAAAGCAAAGTCTGCCTGCACAATGGAACTTCATTTATTTATCTCCCTGCTCTGGAAGATCCCCAACAATGGGATTAGTTTTTGAGGCCAAGCCCAAAAGAGGTGTCTTTCACATATTTCATTACAGAAGAAATTCTATCAGCACAAGGATTTTAGCTCCTTTATTTAACATTTCACAATACAAAAAAATAAATTCAGAATGAATTGATACAGACCTATTTAAGAACATATTAGGATATTCAGCTTGGCATCCTATTTTTTTTCCCAGGAATGAGGCATATGTTGATTTCCTAGAACCATTCATATTTCATCACCATCATCATCATCATTCATATTTACCCAAATAAGAATACAGAGATCAATTCTTACGCAATAGCTTCATGATGGGCTCTTTCAGCCAGCATTATAATCTTCTTCTCTGCTTCTCTTTCCAGACGTTGCTGAAAGAAAAAGTGACAAGAGGGAGAACTATATATTACTGCAGCGATTAGATACATTGAAACACTATGTCTACTATTCCCAAAGTAATCTACCTTTTCTTCAATGAACTTTTTCTCCAACATACTAATAGTTTCCTGATGTTCTTTTTTTGTGATATCCAAGGTATCTTTCAGCTAGAATTTAAAGAAACATTTCATTATAATTTAGTCATCTAGAGGACAATTCAACTAACGCTTTCTAGAGAAAAACTGCACAGGTCTGCATTATTTATTTATTTGTATCACACCTTTATTATATTTACAAATAATTCAAGGTGACACAACTTCCTCCTCCTATTTTCCCAACAACAACGATCTGTAAGGTGAGTTGGACCAAGAACGATTAGCCCAAAGTCACCCAGCTGGCTTTCTCTTGTTTTCTAGCTTGGTGCTTAACAACTAGACCAAACAGGCTTTCCAGGACTGGATTATTCTAGGATATCTCACATTTAGATTTCTCCAATTGTTTTTCAGATTTATAGTTTTTACCTATCATCTCTTACTTAATTAAAAAAAAAGATCAGCAATTCTATAGATACATATATTATGCGCACTATTTAGAGATATAACTTGTATCTCACTTTAACATAGCTTTTTCTCTTCTAGAGGTATTGTCCAAATGATTATTCTTCAGGATATCTGTTGAAATTCCTGTTCTATCAATCTGCCACATTTGACAGTTGAATTTCTGCAAAGTAATATTTTATAGTCCTATTATAATTTACAGACTGTTGTGATGCATATTTCACAACTCTAGATTACTACTGGAAGCTACATCTTCCTATCATAGAACTATCAATAAGGGGAGACAATAATAGAAGAGGAGAGGCCCTTCTAAAAATATAAGAATTGTGAGGAATAAACTTACATCTTCTAATTCTTTCTCCAAAAGTGCTTTCTTTTTGCGAAATTCTTTGATCATCTTAAGTTCAATCTGAATTAGACCAATTTCCTTAGCCTTTCGATGAAATTTCGCCTCCATCTCTTCTAACTGTTTAGCAAATTGTTCTGCCTACAAATTTAAAATCTTTTAGCTCAAATAAAATATCTAGACATAGATCTAAAATTAGATAAACAATACTGAAAAACAAACATGACATTTTATTGCAATATTTAAAAGCAATTAAAAATAATCCATCACCAGATAAAGATTACCACTAAAAAAATAAAATATTAATAAAATAAAACTGCAAAATAGGCACAAATAATAGCTTTATCAGTTTCAAGACAGTTCTACCTTGGATTATATGAACCAACTGCTGAGAATTGAGGATTTCTTAGAGCTTGATGCAAGATATGTTTACTTGGAAGTAACTCACTTAGGTGCCAAGAATTTAGTCCATCAAAAAAGTACAGCTTTGGCTTTATTGCCCGAAGGAGAATATCAGCATACTTGCACCCTACTTTTCCATTTTTTCTAACAAAACAAGTTTCAAAAAATGATTAAGGAATTAGTAACAAAGTGAGTTTTAAAAAATAATTATTTTTGTATTTTTAGTGCAAAATAATCTTATGTAATAAACTTTACATTTATCTGTCATGCCTGACTCTTAAAATATGCTAAGCCTGAGCTGCAGTGTCCTTTGTTACCAAAAGTGTCAGAAGAAATGTCCATTCACCGCTTGTTCACTTTCCTCTTTTGCTCTGAGCTTCAATTCATTCACTTGCTGTTTCAGCTTCTCAATCTAAATATGAAAAACAAAGTTGATAAAGAAATCAATACTTCTCCCTGATAACAGCCAGAAGCCAATAACTGTTGAATAAAGGGATGCAAAAATTAAAATCCCCAGAAAGCCTTTCTTTTTTTTTTTTTTTTTTTTTTTTTTTTTATTAAAAGTTTTATAAATTTTAAAAAAAAAAACAAGAACAATACAGAACAAAAAACAACATATACAAAAGAAAAAAAAATTAAACAATACATATAAAAAAAACCCCCCACCCCACACCCCTCCCAAAAACCCTCCCTTCCCCCCCCCTGAGCTTCCCAGAGCAGAATATAGGCTTAAGAAATAATAATAAAAAAAAATAAAAATAAAAATAAAAATTAAATTAAAAACTTTATATTTATATATATAAAAAAGATATCTATAATATATATAAAAATAAAACTTATGAAAAAGCTATATAATATTTTTGTATACCCAATCTAAATTGTATAAATTTTATCCATTTGTCCCAGATAGCAAAAAACTTCTCTTGCGTTTGTTGCTTTAAGAAAGCCGAAATCTTTGCCATTTCTGCCAGATAAGCTACTTTAAAAAACCATTCCTGCAATGTAGGCAAAGATTCCTTCTTCCAATATTGTCCAATAACAGCCTCGCGGCTGTGATCAAGTTTAACATCAATACAACCTCCTTTGTATCACAATCTGTAACAATACCTAACAAAAATAATTGCGGAGTAAATTTTACCCTCCTTCTAAAAATTCTCTGGATATTCCACCATATTTTGATCCAAAATGCTTTTATCTCTCTACATGACCACCAAATATGATAATAGGAAGCCTCCTTATAACCACATCTCCAACATTTAGGTTGCACGTCAGGGTACATGTAAGACATTTTTTGTGGATCAAGGTGCCATCTATAAAACATTTTATAAAAATTCTCCCTTAGATTCTGTGCTTGAGTAAATTTGACATTTCTCACCCAAATAGTTTCCCAGGTGTCCAATGAAACTGGCTCACCAAAGTTCTGCGCCCATCTAATCATACAATCTTTAATTAGTTCCGTTTCTGAGTCCAATTCAACTAAAACCCCATAAATTCTCTTAATGTGGGTTTGTCTTTGATCCTTCAGTTGCTTAATAAGATTTTCATCTTCTCTAAGAAAACCCACCTTACAATCCATCTTCCATCTATCTAGTAGTTGCCTATATTGGAACCAAGAATAAGTAAAATTTTCTTGTGCTAATTCTTCCCGTGATTTTAATTGCCAGTTTTGTCCATCCCATTTAAGTAACTGTCTATAAGACACCATATCCATTTTAACCCCTCTTTTTATTCCTTCTATCGCATGCCAAGGTATAGCCCATAATGGTACTTTAAAATCACTTTTATAATATTTTCTCCAAATCCTAAGTAAAGAAATTCTTAAAATATGAGATTTAAAAGCCCAATCTATTTTTTTATTAAATATTAAATAGGCATGCCACCCATAAAGTAAATCCCATCCCTCTAGATAAAGTATCTCAGAATTTGTCAAATTTACCCAGTCACTAATTAATGTTAAAACCACCGCATCATAATATAATTTCAAATTTGGTACCTTGAGTCCGCCCCTCTCACGGAAGTCTTGCATAATTTTGAACTTAACCCTTGGTTTTTTCCCTGCCCAAATAAATTTATTGAGACCCTTCTGCCACTCATTTAAATTAATCTCATTTTTCAAAATTGGTAACATTTGAAACAAAAAAAGAAACTTGGGTAGAATATTCATTTTTATCACTGCAATTCTTCCCATGAGGGATAATTGCAGCTTTTCCCAATTCTTCAAGTCTTTCTGTACCCCGACCCACAACCTTTCATAATTATTTTTAAATAGTTTTGCATTAGAAACAGACAGCATCACCCCCAAATATTTTACCTTATTAACAATCTCAAAACCCGTCGAGTTAACCAAAATCTGCTTCTCCTGACTCGACAAATTTTTAGGTAAAATTTTAGTCTTATTTACATTAATCTTAAAACCCGAGACCAAACCATAATGGTGAATCAACTGTAATAAGTTTACTACAGAATAATCAGGTTGCGACAAAGTAACAACCAAGTCATCCGCAAAAGCTCTCAACTTATATTCTTTTTTATTAACATATATTCCTTTAATTTCCTGAGACTCTCGAATTTTAATCAATAATATTTCCAATGTTAAAACAAACAACAATGGCGATAAAGGACACCCCTGTCTAGTACCTTTCTCTATTGTGAAAACCTCCGACAAACCTCCATTAACAATAAGTTGTGCTGTTTGTTTTTGATATATTACCTTAAGGGCTTGTAATATGTTTTCACCAAAATTCATTTCTTCCATTACTCTTAGCATAAAATGCCAATTCAGTTGATCAAATGCTTTTTCAGCATCTAAAAATATGAGCCCTGCAGGAACTTGGTTGTTCTTATCTAAGTATTCTAATAAGTTAATAATTTGTCTAACATTGTTTTTCATATACCTTCCTGTTATAAACCCTGATTGATCTTTATGCACAAGATGATGCACCACCCTCATAAGCCTATTTACCAAAATTTTTACAAATATCTTATAATCCACGTTTAAAAGAGATATAGGCCTATAGTTTTTTGGTAAAGTAAGATCTTGATCCTCCTTTGGAATCAATGATATAAAAGCACTACGCCATGAAGGAGGAATCTCTAAACCCTGTAAGATACCATTAAAAAGATCATTTAATGGTTGAATCATCTCCTCCATTAAAGCTTTATAATAAACAGCTGTTAACCCATCCGTACCCGGTGCTTTCCCTAATTTCAATTGTTGAATTGCTGAGGCGATTTCCTCCTTAGTAATTAAACCATTAATTTCATATTTCTGATCCTCAGTCAGTTTAGGAAAACTTGCCTCAGCTAAATATTTATTTATATCTAACAGTTGTACATTAGTAGATTTGTATAGGTTTTGATAATAATCCAAAAAAGATTTTTTAATTAATTCCTTCTGAGAAACTAGTTTACCCTTATAATTTATTTTCTCTATTATTCTCAGTCTCTGTTTCTTTCTTAATTGATAAGCCAACCATCTCCCCGGCTTATTAGCATTACAAAATGTATTTTGTTTCATAAATAATAAATTGGTTGCAGCTTGATCTGCTATCAACATATTAAATTGTGACCTTAATAACTTTACAGATTCTTTAGTACTTTCATCAGAAGGATTTAGAATCAAAGCCCTTTCTTTTAGTTTAATTTCATCTTCAAGTTCTCTACGTTTCTGAGTCTGATTTCGCTTATAAAAATTATTCATTTTTATCAAAACACCGCGCATAAATGCTTTACCTGCATCCCATACCATTGACATTGAAGTCCCCTTATACATATTCAAAGCAAAATAGTCCTTTAAACACTCCTTTAGTTTTTGAACATTCTTCTCTTGTCTAAACAAATTTTCATTAACTCTCCAGGATCTTCTTTCCTCTTTCTCTTGAATCAACTCCATCCAAACTGGACTATGATCCGTCAGTGATCTAGGAAAAATCTTTACATTCTTTACTTTATTATACAAATCCGTGGTAATCAAGAAAAAGTCAATTCTTGAAAAAGATTGGTGTCTGTCAGAAAAAAAAGTAAAGTCTCTCTCCTCTTGATTACGTTCCCGCCAATAGTCCCTTAATTCCCAGTCTTCTTTCATATCAAAAAAGGCTTTAGGTAGCCTTGCTTGTTTAAGAAAAGGAGAGGAACCTTTCTTATCCCTTTGTGTATCTAAGACACCATTCCAATCACCCATTAATACCACCGATCTATAATCAAGCAAAGTTATTTTTTGGTGTAACTGTTTATAAAATTGTTCCTGTTGTTGATTTGGAGCATAAAGTCCAACTATAAGTACTTTCTTACCATAAATACCAAGTTCAATCATCACATATCTCCCCTGGGGATCTGATTCTACCAGACAAGCTGGCAGGTTTTGTTTGACATATATAACAACTCCCCCTTTCTTCCCAGGTGCAGGAGATATAAAATGAGATCCCAAACGAGCATTAACTAAATATTTCTGATCTTTAAGTAGAATATGAGTTTCCTGTAAACAAATAACATCATTGGTATGTTGTTTCAAATAATAAAAGATTTTTTTCCGTTTCTGAGGAGAATTCAATCCATTAACATTCCAGGTCAAAAACTTTGCCATCTCCCTTGGCACGCAGCCTGGAGAAGACACCATCAAACTCTGACAGAGCTGCGTGTGTTGCATAACTCTTGGGTCTTGCTCCTCCCACCGGCGGTGATGCACTTCCAGGAGAATTCTCTTTGGGCTCTTTTTTACGTTGCTCTTTCTCTTTACGCTTATAAGCTGCACGAGTCATCCTCTGCTCTTTAGCCTCCGTTTGGCGTTGCTTTGCCACTTCTATCATCCCTGCGGAAACCAAATCTAGTGCCTCAGATTGCTGCTCAGGTTCCTTAGCACTCAAAGATTTCCGACCAGATGAAGTTGAGCCTGCACTCAGGACCGAAGTATAGAAATCTCTAGCTTTGTCAACTGTGTTCAATCTGTAACGTGTCCCAGCATGGCTCAAAACGATACCCATCGGAATTTCCCATCTGAATGGCATCGATCTAGCTTTAAGCTCATTGGTTAAAAAAGCAAAGTCTTTCCTACTTCTTAAAATTTTAGATGGGATTTCCTTTAGAATGATGACATCTTGGGCGGCAATCTGAAATCTTTTGTTGTAAAAAGCTTGTATAATCTCATTCCGCAGGGACTTCTTTGTAAAGTAAATCACCACATCTCTGGGCAAATTCTTCTGCTTAGCAATCCAGGAGTTGAGTCTATAATTTTTTTCTACTTCTCTCTGTAATTCTCCTTTATCCATATCCAAAGCCAGCGCCAGATCACTAAGAACCACCTCCATCAAATCTTGATTCATATCTTCCTTGAGGCCTCTAATCCTCAGAGCATACTCCATTTGTCTGTATTGAAACATCAAAATATCTTCTTGTGAGGAGTCCACCTTCCTTTCCACGTCTTGAATTTTGTCATCTAAAGAGTCAACTTTGTCTTCCACTTCCTCAAGCCTTGCATCGAGCTTAACCACCACAGTAGCCAAACCTGAAACAGCTGCCAGTATATCTTGTCGTAATTCATTATTATTTTCTTGCAATTTAGACTTTATCCCCGTTGTCTCTTCTTTGAGATCAGATTTAATTTCTGATTTAATCTGTGAAACAAATTGAGTCATTTCCTCTCTCATTTGAACTACAATCTCTCCCATTATGCCTCTAACCTCTTGCACTGAAAGTCCAGGTAGAGGAGGGGAGGGTGGTGGCTGAGCCGGTGGTGCATGTTTAGATTGTTGTTGTAGCTGTGCAGTGGAAGTTATAGGAGAAGAAATAACCTTGGGTACTGAGGAAGGCTGCTGCCTCTTTGAAGCCATTTTAAAAAGCACAATTATCACTTCCCTTTCCCCTCCAGCCAAAAAGGGAGGAGGAAAAAAAGAAAAAAAGAATTTTTAAAAAGAGACAAACTATAATCATTAAAAGTCCAGAATAAATCCCAAGAATAAGTAATAAAAGAGCAAACAATTCAAAAAAAAAATTCTAAGCCAAAAGCAAAAGCAAAAGCAAAAAACAATCCTTAAAAAGGGAAAGTAAAACAAAAGAGAAAGGAAAAAAAAACTCCGACACTTTCAAAACGCCATCTTAAGTCCTTTCACTAATATAACAAAGAAAAGGAGGAAAAATAGTAAAAATCAAAAGATAAAAAAATAAACACCTAAAATATAAGAAAAAGTCCTTTAAACTGCTCCGTCCGTTTAAAAATTACTCACCAAAATGCTGTAAACACGGAGATAGAAGCGGCGGTTTCTTTTGCTTCCAAGGAAGCAAAAACAGCTGGGAGGCGGAGATCAGCAAGAGCTCCGAGGGAACACTCCTTTCACCCCCTCTAGAAATAAATCCAGAGGGGGTTCAGGGGTTCTACCTCTACTCTTGCGTTCTCTATCCCTTCCCTTTGCCCGGGAAGGGATTTCCGAGCCGCGGGCCAGCTGATGCGCGCTGCGCTCCGCGGCTCTGACACTTCCCCAGCTGGACGGCTAAAAGCTAGCCGCCATCGCCGTCGCCTCCCACCGGAAGCTCGCCAGAAAGCCTTTCTTCTGGCTTAAGTCTATAGCTCCATATTTTAGCACCTAGAGATAGTTTTTTTGATGTTATAAATACTGAGAAAAATGTTCTTAACAAATGAAAGGCATACCAAGCCATTAAATGCCATTGTCTCACTTTTCCAAAAGTTTGCCTGTAGCATAATTTCCAAAAATAGGAGAATAGAAAACCCAACAATTAGCATGGAGACCTTTCTATGATGTCTTTACATTAAAATCACAGACGAGCTTTAAGCAAAAATCTAATTGTTTCCTACCATCTCTTACACCAGGAAAAGCACCCAGAAAAGGAGGAGGCGAGGAGCCAATTTCAACTTTTTCAAGGTTTCAAATCAGATTTTCTAACTACAGATGTGGAATATACTATCAAATTCCTCTGTTCAAATGTGACAGTCAAAAGAAAGGTACATACAGGGAGTATGGAGTGGCATTCTTAATTATTCTCCTTTATCAAGATTTTGCTAACCTCATGAACAGAACAGTATACTTTATTTGGCCAAGCCGAGGTGGCGCAGCAGTTAGAGTGCAGTACTGCAGGTCACTTTAGCTGACTGTGTTCAGCAGGTCAGCGGTTCAAATCTCACCGGCTCAAGGTTGACTCAGCCTTCCATCCTTCTGAGGTAGGTAAAATGAGGACCCAGATTGTTGGGGGCAATGTAAATATATATATACATTGCTTACTGGTGTACACCGCTTAGAGAGTGCTTGCACTTAAAGCGGTACATAAGTCTCATAAATAAATAAATAAATAAATAAATAAATAAGTGTGATTAGACACGCAAGGAATTTGTCTATGGCACAGAAGCTCTCAGTGTACATGCAAAGCAACAGAATAATGATAATCATATCAATAGGAGGATGGAGCAAGAAATATAATAAAGGTAATAATAGCGCCACAGCCATACTAATTGGGTATGTCTAACAAAGACATAAGACAGTGCTGTGAGAATTAAGTGTTCAGCAGAGTGATGGACTAAGGAAAAAACTATCCCTGTGTCTAGTTGTTTTGGCCTGCAATGACCTGTAGCACCAGACAGAAGAAAGGAGTTGAAACAGTTTATGTCCAGGATGTGAGGGATTGCAGGTATCTTCCTTCTGACCTGTGCAATACACAGGTCTTTTATAGAAGGCAGGCTGATTGCAATTACAGGTAGTCCTTCACTTACAACAGTTCATTTAGTGACCATTCGAAGTTACAACAGCATTGAAAAAAGTGACTTTTGACTATTTTTTACACTAACAACAGTTGCAACATCCCCATGGTCACATGATCAAAATTCAGACGCTTGGCAACTGACTCACATTTATGAGGGTTTCAGTGTCCCAGAATTATGTGATCCCCTTTTGCGATCTTCTGACAAGCAAAGTCAATGGGGAGAGCACATTCATTCAACAAGTGAATTTAATAACTGCAGTGATTCACTTAACAAATGTGGTGAGAAAACTCATAACATGGGGCAAAGCTCACTTAACAAATTTCTCACTCAGCAACATAAATTTTGATCGTATATTGAGGACTACCTGTATTCTTTTTGCAGTCTTAACTATCTATTGGAGTCTGTATTTGTCCTGTTTGGTTGCTCTATCAAACCGGGCAGTTAATAGTGGTTAATGCTATATATTTTTTCCCAGGGCATTTCTTCATTCTGAAATGTATTTATTTGTTAAATTTATGTTCCACCCATCTCATTATCCATAGTGACTCTGGTGCAATTGGTGCACACCTCACAATTAGCGCATTGCGTTGAGATGATATTTATACATTTAATATTTAAAGCATTAGCTGTAATGTAAATGCAGTAATAATTGAAGGCAAATCCGCAATTTAAAGAAATCAGTAACTGACATTTGCCCACGAAACCATAGCCTGACAGATTAAAGAGGGGCCACGCTACACCTACCAGGTCTTCCTTCTCCGCGTCTTGCTTCTTGAGGCAGGAGACCACGTCGACCATGTCTTTCTCCAGCCGCCGCCGCTGCCGTTCCAGCTCTTCGTTGTTCCGGGCGAGGCGGCGAGCAGCCTCGCGGTGCTCTTTGCGGGAGATCTCCGTTACCTCCAACCTGGCCTCCCATAGCGCCGCTGCGGCTTTAGCCCTTTCGGCCTCCGACTCCTCCTTTAAGGACTTCGGCTCTACCCTGCTCTTGCCGGCGCCCTCGCCGACTTTCTTCCCCCTGAGAAGAGCAACGCGACGCAAATGACGAGTGAAGGGTTGGCTTAACAGACTAGCCCCGGCCAAGCAGCCCACCACCTTCGTTAGACTTCCCGAGATACCTACTTCTCTCCTTTCGCGCTTTTACTTTGCGCGTTTTTCCCTTTCATGTTCCCAGGCTCCGGCTTTTCCAGGGATTTTCTTCCTGCCTAAAGCGACTCCGTTACTATGGAAACTGCGCGTCGCGGAAAAGTGAGGAAGAAAAGGTGCGTCCGTGACGTAACGCGCAGTGTATTGACGTGACACGCGGCACCGGTGAGAAGTGGAAATTCGGAAAACTGAAGGTTCGGAAAACACGGTGAGTGAAAACTGGGCTCGGGGGTGAATTGGAGGTGGGGGCGGCAGTCCTTCTCTAATCCGGAGCCGTCGACACGGGAGTCGAATCATAATATGCGTCCCTTGCTCCTGTCTTTCGGCGCGCTCTTGACTGCTCGTTCCTATCGTGGTTTGGGCAGTATTTCTCGTTGCATATAATGTGTTCTAAATATTTCAAACTCTTTTTCTCCATAGCTTTGTATTTTTTTGTATCTTTGCCAACTCTTTGGAGAACTGTCTCCTTTCACACACATTCAATCCATGATATTTTAAGTAATCCATAAACGGCTTTAAAGGCTTTTATTCTTCGGATTGTCATTTGGGCATCATTCATGTTTCTATGCAGTTCAGAAGTGGCAAGGTATAATAGCGCACAATCCAACAAAATTCCATTCTTAAGTCTCAACTGCAAACATTTGGGTTTTTTTTCTTTTAAAAGAAAACTTCTCTCACTTTATCAGTCCTGTTCTTTATTTCCACGATATGATCTCATAGACCTCTGTAGGGTTCAATTACAGTTACTTGGCAAGCATTTTTCAATGCTAATTTAACCTTTCATCTACCCAGTCTGAAAATTTCTACATACAAATTTTATATGAAAAGGAAAAACGGTTCATCCTCTTTTTACCAATATTTTTATTTCTAAAAATATAAACGTCATTGATTACAGCAAAAATTTACATACAAGTTCCAGATATGCTCAGTATATTGTTATTCTTGAAATTTTTCACAAATTTCAGTTAAATCACTGTCTCTGAGATTTCTGATATAATATTTTAAAAGATATTTAACACAATATTTCCAAGTAATTATACCAATCTTGGGATCATAGGTGTTCTTACAAGCTTCTTACAAGGTTCATAGGTGTTCTTACACTATTTGACAAACATAAGCCTGACTAGGAAAGATAAGATATATTACCACATACCTGGAGCACATTAATTTAGTATCTATTTCATCTAGTAAAACTGGACTGCTGAGTATGACAAAATATAGTAAATGCCTTTTCTTAATGACTTTTAACTTTTTTGTTGCAATGAATATTCAAGTTGGTAAATAATTTCCTAGGTCAGTAGTTTTCATTGGAACTTCCTACTTGAAATATGTCCTTTGAACTTCTGCTAGGAAAAAAACTCCAACTGGACATTTTTTTTTTGTTTGTTTGCCTTAGATAAATGCTAAACCTACGTTCACAGAAAATGGACTTACTGATATATAATATGCAACTTTCCTGCCTACATGATTAACAGCTAAATATTTTTTCATTGTACCCATAGCATAGGTAAGTACACATATAGTTTGTATTTCAGGTCCTGAATGTTTTGGGGAGAAGTTTGGAATAGAAAAAACTGCCCAAATTAGGACATTTATTTGAAGAAGGCTAATATTTATGATAGGATAGGATATTTATACAATAATGTTATATATAAAAATAAAAATGGAGATCGAGTGTGCTTTTAGTGGCTAGGCTGCTAGGCTATTGAACCACGGCACAGGAGCCCTAGGTTCAAGGATATGCTTTGGCCGTGGAAACTCTGTGATTTTGGGATACTCTCTCTCTCTCTCTCTCCCTCCCTCTCTCTCTCTCTTTCTGTCCCCCACCCCCACCCATGCTACTTGTGGGTTATTTTTGTGAGAATAAATGAAAAGAGATCTCCAGTACAAGCTAAGTTGACTTCTTGAAGGAAAGCAATACATAGCAATCAAGTATTTTTTTATACTTTGTAAAACTAAAAAAGGAAAAAAGAAAATCAATGCACATATATTGCAGCGTCTCAGTTCCAATGCATTTTTAAGGAGGAATATCTTAAGGGTAATGCAATTCATAAAAAAAATCTTTATGGTGTATACAACTAAATGATAATTGCAAATAAGACATACATTTTAGCTATTATTAAACAATATAAAATTAGAATGATATTTTTTAAAGTCCCCTGAAGAAAAGTCCTTGAAATGCTTTGGAATTAAATTTTTGCAATAAAGTATAAAGTTTTCTTTTTTTGTTCTTTTCACTTTCTTGCTCCATTCAAAAAGGAGAGGAAAATGCCTTTATTTTAATTACCAACACTTATAAAAGGGTGGAGAGATTAAGCGATTATGATAAAGGTTTTATAATAAAAATGTTTTAGATGGAATTTGTAAAAAGAAGGTAGGTTATATTGCATAGATTCACTATTTCTAAATTTTAAAAGTTTCCAATTAGATCAAATTTCCTTAATCTATGTAGAAGCATTTTTGTAGATTAAATTAAAATTTTTCTAATTATATTTTTAAATCTGATATACTTTGACAACAAAGTACTTGGAGGGAAATTCAGAAATAAACCTCCTTTTGGTTATCAATGACAGACACTTGCAGATACAAAACTTTTATTATATACATTATATAACTACAACATTACATTACTTTTTGACATAATCGCCATTCAAATTCAAGCACTTGTCATAATGTCTTACAAAGTTTGAATTTTCCTTAGTAGTATTCGCTCGGCACCAAATCTGGGCTATAGAGAGGGTGATCAAAAACATCCTAACAGAACTGCTTCAAAAGTTCTTGGGTGCGTCTAATGGTGTGCAGGCGAGCATTATCATGAACCAACACCACACCGGAAGTCACATGTCCTGACACTTGTTATGGATGGCTCATCTGAGTTTTTGTAACATTTCACAATAGATTTCTGAACTGATGGTCGAACCACACTCCATGAACTTCACTAGCAGTACTCCTTTGGCATCTTCACATTTGGGGGGATTTTCTATGGCACCACTTCCGATGTGGTGTCTGTCATTGATAACCAAATGGAGGTTTATTTCTGAATTGCCCTTGTACTTTAGTTTTTATATGTGTTAGAATATTATGGATTAGAAAAGTAAGGTTTAGGTTTAAGTTCAAAATTCATTTTGGCAAATATAGACTCCATGTTCTTATGCCTGCCCAATTTCCAAAGAAATATATGGATAATAGTTATTGTATTGCTATAAGTTTCTTGCCCCTATTTTTCATGAACATAACTTGATCTTTATACAAGGTATAAATTAAACCAGCAAAAAAAATGTAGCAAAAAACTTTTCAATTAATTATTAGGAGAAACTTTGTTAAACTTTGTAACTGCTTTTCTTAAGGAGTTATGTCATAGTTTGGGATTAGGAATAAAGTTGAAAGAGAAGCAATAAAAGTTAAACACATGATAGGACAAAAAAAATGGACGAAAGGTAGAACAAACTTGAGTTTTTTGAATAACAGGAGATAGAAAATTAGAACAAGATGGAGGATGGATGCTGAAGCAACGAAAAAATCCAATAATTAGGGATTCAGATGCTAAGTACCAATTGCATGCCAGTGAACTGTTCTAATCATCAGATCTTTTGTAATTGTGAAAAATGATTGCATAAGATAAATGTTGACATTTATTAAAAAACCAGAGTAGCATTAATAACCAGCAAGGATCTAGTATGGAAGAGAAATACCTGTGAAAAGCTAAGTAAAACAAAATGGCACAAGCAGGGGAAAGGGGACTTGAATGGAGGAAGAAATGTTTCTAAATTTCAAATACTTTGTTTTAATGTAAAGAAATCTATAGAGCTGTTTGTTATGTTATGTTACATATTTAAAAGACTTACATAGTTATCCATCTTGTAAAACACAATTATGGGTGGTTCATAACAATAGCCAAAGACAATAAAACCAGGCATCTGCCCACAATGTATAACCCATCAAACCCTACAATCCTTGGTTTCCAGTGTGTTGGCTTCAAATTATTTAGGCACTTAGGAATTTACTAGAAGCAATAGTGGTCATAAATTTTCTCCTGCTACAAACTTAAGTCATTAAATCTGAAACTATCTTATGTTTTCCTTAATTAATGTCCATTTCAGTTTGAGATGTTAGTATAATTTGGCTTTTGTGAATTTTCTGTGCTGAATAGCATTAGAATTTTCCTTTAAGCAGATTTTTTATCTATTTCAGTATCAATATTTTCTGGAATCTTATGGAATGCAAGTGTACTTCTGCACATCAAAAACAATTACTGGGTGAGTTTGATTTGAAAGTAAAACCACAAAACAGAAATGATCCTGAGCCATATATTGGATATGAAGTGGGAGGGCACCACAACTAAATGCATTGTTTTGTTCTGCCTATTTAGTGTCATCAACAGCATGTGCAATTCCCATTGTTGGTTGTTCTGAATGACACTTGTATTCTGAGCTTCCCTAGCCTTCTCAAAGTGATAGCCAGGATTATAATTCCTATGTTAATTTGGAATCTGCAATATTAGCAAATAGAGATACTTTATAAAGAAGCAGAATTTTCATATTTATTCCACATAGAATTTTAGAACACAGTTGTAACTGTTCCATAGATTCAAAGGAGCAGACTTGAAGTGTAATGGTTTGTCCCTGTTTTAGTGATCAAATCACCTTTTGGGGATGTGGGAAGTTTCTCTGTTGACTGATTTATTTAACTTATGATTTTTCTAACGTATATAATGTTATCTTCAGGAACCTCTGCAATCTGGAAGTCTTGATTCAAACTGCAGTCCTCTAAGGCCCCCAAGCATGATGGGTACTTCCTGGTTCACAGTCATTGCCATATTTGTGTTTTCCTCCATTTATTGTATTGTTTCTCATCCCAAACCTGAATTATGGTTCCAAGAACTTTTCCCCCTTAAAATGTGTCCAGCCAATGCCAGCGTGGAAACATTTTATGGCATCATGTTTGATGCAGGAAGCACAGGGACACGAATTCATGTTTACACCTTTATACAGAGAAGCCCAGGTAAGACTGTTGGAAGTTCTCCTGAACATATGTACTTGTGGTGTAGAATCTGCTAGATGGTTTTATTGGTTGACAAATCACTTGTAATTTCCTACTGATTATGTTTTGTGGTTTTTAATTGGTTTTAATGATATTTTTGTGTTGTTTTTGTATTTGGTGTGTTTATTATTTTTGTGGTATATATTTAATTATGTTAGCCATCCAGTGACAAATGTGAGGTAGACAGTTATGTAAATTGAATAAATGAATCATAAAAATATGCTACAACAACCAGGCACTTGTCAATGTATTATAAGCAATTAATTGACTAATTTTGATATTAATCACCTTGTTTACTCTCCACAAGTTGTTGACTTGACTTCAACAAGTCTATAAGCAACTCTTAAACTATAAATCAATAGATTATAAATGTTTTAGGAATTTACAAGAACTAGATAACCTGTGACCCCCTGGCTCATCCTTTCAGAAGTATTTCCTTACCAGATTCCTCAATGCCATCAAAATGACAAAGCTTCTTATGTAGTGCGTTCATTGGAAAAATTGGATACATTCAAAGATGTGGCTGCCTTGAAAATACCGCATGTTGAATTGTATAGCAGAGTTGTACATATTTTATGACATTTTGTATTATGTCATAAACTGTTTTATGATATTTATGTCATAAAATGCTTTATAAAATTTGCCAAATTTCAATTCCATGGAGTCGTGTGTCCCGGATTTTGGACACATTCTGCAAGTTAGCCCACTTGGGGCACCTTAGTTCAAAAGATTTTGTCCTTTCATCCAGTTAAAATCTGTGGATGTATATTTCATAGTCTCTTTTCACAGTTTCCTTCACTTTTGTTTATTTCCTGATTTCAATTAATTTTGATTGGTTTGTGCAGTCTCTTTATAAAGAGTTGGATCAGTTGCTTAATTGATGTATTTTCCTGAGAAAGATTTTAAAGTAGATTAAGTTTAAAAGATGGAAAGAGGATATGAGTACAATTTAATTCTACACATAGAAAAACAAGAAAGGATTATCTTACAGATAATGTTTAATAACATTTTCTGCTCTTTGGTTGCCTGGCATTTCCTGTTTGGTATGTTTTAATATATTTAATTATATACTATAGTGTCTTAATCCTTGTCATTAATCCTTTATCTTGATATTAATCCAATACAAACATTTGCTCAATATAAGCATTATTGGATTTGTACAGTTGTGTCACTTTAATAAACCAAATGCAGTCTTCTGAAAAACTATCTTCCGAAAGAAGGGAGAGATGATTTTGATCCAGAATTATGAAGCATCTGGATTTTTATCTCTGTTAGTAAATGAAATGAGAATTAACTAAGCACAGCCTAGTCCATTTTGTCATATTTTGTTCTCAGTTTTTGTGTAGTATTTTGACTGATTGGTTATGCTTTGTGGTTATGTTTTTGTTTTATGATGTAATGATGTAAGTTACCCATCTTTTGAGTGGGGCCGCTATTACAAATCTAAATAATAATAATAATGACACATCACAATTTTGCTGTCGAGGCAGTACACATTAGTGATATGCATTAGATTTTTCCTCAAGAATATCTTTATATTGCAATCTTCCACAAAATATTATAAGTCTTCTTCTTATATTTGTTACACAAAACCATCTATCCACAAGTCCCACATTACCAAGAATTATATATGTATTACAAAATAAAGTTTCTGTTTTCTACATTTTCACTATTTCTCTGAAAAGTACCTCTTGGTTGAATCTTTGGGACACAGCTTGATTGAAAATCACAACCTTCATTGATATATTTGTTATTAACTCATTCGTAATCAGTAGAGCAAAATACCTATAGCCTTAGATAAAAATAAGCCTATCTAACAGCTTATTTTATGTAATTTTTATAGAATACCCTGCAGAGTTAAAGGGGGAAGTTTTTGAATCAGTGAAACCAGGTCTCTCAGCATATGCCAATCAGCCTAAAAGGGTAAGACTTTCTGATGTAAAATAAATTATTTTCTTTTGGCATTTGAAGATAGAATAAATCATAAAGGCAAACTACTGATCTCATTTTTCTATTATTGCTTATTCTCACTGGAAAATAGTAATTCTCCAAGGGTTTTCCTATTACCTCCTCCCTAAACCTAGCTGGAGATAAAAGTGATTACAGCAGGAACATTGTGTTCAAGGACATGTTTTGCCATTAACCAATACTAACCTCTCAGTCCCAATACAGGCCCATAAACAATGAGAAAATTGACCGAGATTGGGACAAGAGAACATTGACGGGACCAGTAGTTTGCCTAGTGACATAGGGACAGATGTTAATAAAGGCAATTGCATATACCTTAAGCTAAGTTCAAGAGGAAAATTTTAAATGTCAAGCTAAAGCCCTCAAAAATAAAATAGGCTTGGAGGAACAAATTGAAGAAGAGAGATATTTTAAAAATGTAAACTAAAAGTTCTGCTCAATCCTATCAGTTTTTTGTTTTTGTTTCTACTAATCTTTAGGGAGCTGAAACTATCAGAAAATTATTAGAGATGGCTAAAAATGCTGTACCACCAGATCACTGGAGCAAGACCCCCGTAGTATTGAAAGCCACTGCTGGTCTACGGTTGTTAGCGGAACAGAAAGCTCAAGCTCTACTCTCACAAGTAATGTTGGGTTATATACTACAAAATCAATGATGCCATATAAAAGTGGGGGCTTTTTTCAGTCCTTTCCATTTGTGTTATGCCATGAATATGCCCCAGCTGCTTTTTAAAATATCATATCAAACTCAATGGAAGCACTTGTAAAATCGTTGGTTATGAAAAACACTATATCCTAGATTGATCACATGTCCCTTGAGCACTGTCTCCATTTCCAAAACACACACAGAGAAATACAGTGAGGTTGATAGGATATGAAAACTTACTGGATATGGGATATTTTAAGTCCTCGGTTCTGAAGAGAGATAAAAGACACTGGGTATGTGCAATCTTGAAAAAAATTGACTGAGGGGAGATTTGATAATATTTTTCAAGTATTTGAAGGGATGCCACATAAAATAATTCTATGACCTGTTTTTTGTTTATCCTAGAGTACAGGACATAGAATATTACTCTTAAATTCTAGGAAGGCTGATATTGGATGAATGTGAGAAAAATAATAGTAAGCAATTCACTAGTGGAATCACTAGAGGAAAGGGGTGAGCTCTCTTTTGCTGGATGTGTTGTAGTAGACATGGACAGCCAATGGTCAGGAATGAGTTACTTGAGATTCCTGCACTGAGCAAGAAATTGAACTCAGTAGCCTAATGGCTTCATTCAACTCTTTATGATTTTATAGCTATTTCTTCTATAGGTCTATATTAATAAATGCAGAAAACAATCCAGTTTTAATGGTAGTTTTAGAAGTTGAACGAAATCATTTAACCTGTAGCTGATTTTACATTCCTTTGTTTCTTTGTAGAAGAAAGTTGCATAATTTGCATATTTCTGTTTGTGAATGATTCCAATTCTAGGAAAATCACTTCCTTTTTTTCCCCCACAGGTCAGAATGGTCTTTGAGGATTCACCATTTTTAGTTCCTGATAATAGTGTTAGCATAATGGATGGATCTTATGAAGGTGCGTCCTACCGTACAAATAAGGAAACTGAGGCATAGAGAAGAGAAATAACTATAGAGAAGTAAGAGGGGAAGAAGGGTTTCTCAGAACAGGATAAAATATTATGATGTTGCTTTTAAGGCAACCAAGATTATAATATCATAGGGAAACAGGATTCTGTATACAGGAAAATGATAAAGTTCCTTGGCTGCATTAGTAACACATTGCTAGATGAAAAATAGATTCAACTAGTTCTAATGTCATATGGAGTTTACAATTAGAACACATCATAGCAAAGGACAGATTTAGATAGCAATGCCATAATGAATACGCATTTATTTTATTTTGCTATTTATATACCCCCTTATTCTACAATGACTTTAGTTAGTTAACTACAATGGCATGCAAATAAAATACTAAATAAAACAAATAAATAACAGCTAAATGCTAAATAAAACACTTCTATCAAAAACTAAAATTATGATTTTTTAAAAATCAACTATTAGCACCGTTCACATGCAGGCAACGTGTGCTTAGTCAATCCAATTTGAAGACTTTTTAAAAAAAACAGTTTTCACTGTGTTCTTGAAGGACATCAGTATAGCATTTGATAGAGAAATGGACTTGGAGAGAGGAGAACCAGTTCAAAGGAGTAGTCCATAACCAATCAAATCTGCTTCTGTGCCATACATAACTCTTGAAATGTGGGAACCCAAAACACCCTAAATCAAACAAATAGGATAAGCAGACACTTAAAACCAGCACCCTGAACTTTATTTGAGATCCTATTACTAACCAGTATTGTATGATTACAACAGCTCTCAAATACCAGGAGGCAAGATGCTACATTCAAAACAATTCCAGTTTCAGAGTAGTTTCCAAGGACAATAGCATGTAAAGTCCATATACTATGCAAGTCCATTTAATTCTCCTAATCGTAATTGTTTTGTATTGCCCTTTTTACTTTTCATCATATTGTAAGCAGCCCAGAGTCATGTTTCAGTAAGATGCAAGGCATAATAAATAAACAAATACATACATACATACATACACACACACATACACACATACATACACCTTCAGCCTAGAAGTGATAGGGACATGATTTAATGTTGCCAAGCCCTCCTGCTCCAAACAGGAGTTGAGCCCTATGGTACTCCTACTGCTCATTCTCCAGCATCACGGATTGGAACCTCTCATTTAGGAAGAAGTGAAACCAAGTGTAAAGCAGTGTCATCCATCTCCAACCTCATTATCAATTGTATCAAAGGCTGCAGGTTATCCATTTCAGCAACCAATGCAGTTTCCACCCCATACTCATGCACCGCCTTTTCTACCAACTTTCTCAAAAAGAAAGATTGGAAACTGGACAGAAGTTGTCTATTGGGAACAGACTGAGGGTTTTTTTGTTGTTTTTGGAAGGTGCACACCACGATTTCTTTCCAGGCAGTCAGATCAAAACTTTCTCCCAAAGAAACCTCAGCCACTTGAACCTAGTTAAACAATTTGGCTTTACCAAATTATATGGAGAACTACTTGGAGAACTACAGTATGAAGTGGGTTTACTTTTTAATTTAGTATCACATATTCATCTAAGTTTAGTTCAGCTGAATGTCCTTAATCCAGACATTTATTTAGCTGAGTAAACTGACCTAACTTGGCAATTAGTTAAAAATTTCATTTGGAGTTGGGTTCAGTAAAATTATGCAATAAATTTGCAGGGTTTACAGAATGTTAGGAAACCTGAATGTAAAGTACAAGAACTGGAACAAAAAAAAAGAGAGACGGTAAATTTTAGATGGGGAAACAGTAATGAAAGTTAAGAGAACACCCCCAACTGATGTGAAAAGGTTGAGAAGCCAAAACAATGAATGAAATGATATTCTGTTTGGAAAAGTAATGATAATTACTGATCAGCAGAAATGCAGAGCCTGCATTAATCCTTTGTAGTCTATACATAGATGGATTTTCAGTATCTTTTTCTTTCTCTTGCAGGTATTTTAGCCTGGATCACTGTGAATTTTTTGACAGGTATTTACTGTGGCATGTTTCTGTTTTAATAGATAGAATCCACAAAAAATGAATAGGAAGCCTATTAATAATAGGAGAGTCGTCCATTATGTCTCTTCTGACTTGCTAAACCCTCCCAGAATAGGGTGTGGGGTTGTTGTTGTTTTTTTGCTGTATATGGGTATTGTTTGAATTTTTGCAATGTTATCTGCAGGGCAGTTGTATGGCCAAGACCAGCGGACAGTTGGAACTCTGGACCTGGGAGGAGCTTCAACTCAGATAACATTCCTGCCACAGCTGGAGGTGAGGAGGTAGAATAGGCTGCAGGTTCTGTATTTTGGATAATCTTTATGCCCATTGTCACTTTCAGCCTTGATATCTTCCTTAACAGAACAAATGCCTTTCTAACACTATACTTCAGATAACCCAAATACTCTTTTCTATCATATTCAAAATTCATAGAAAGGAAACCACTTGGCTTCACTCAGGACACTAAAGTGTTGTTGGTTTATTGAATATTGGTTTGGCTCATGAACACAGCCAGTTATGAAACATGGTATGTAAACAATGGCTGGATTAACACAATACCAAAATACAGGTAGTTCTCAATTTACAACTGGTCTTTTAGTGATCATTCAAACTTACAATCTACCTGAAAAGGGGAATTTACCACTCAGATATAATGTTCCAACAGGGCTGCATTCACATGACTATACATTGGGTGCTTGGCTACATTTATAGTTGTTTGTGTCTTGCAGTCACATTAATGCATTTTATTTCGGGTTTGCCAAGTAACTGGTACTTACTTCTAGTTTTTGGCAAAACCACAGAGCAAACCATTGGTTCACTTAATGACCATGGCATTTGTTTTATGACCACGTTTACTTAACCATTGCAAAAAACACAAAATTCGGTTGATCGTGAGACCGAACCTGTTTTATGATTCCTGCAACTTATGGACCTAATGAGCAGGCTTCATGATGTTCGTAACTTGAGGACTACCCTGAAATAACATGGTTGTTATGTGCCAGGTAGCTACCGCTGTTCAGACTGCCTGTTTCTATGAATCAAATGAATAGAAGCAAGCCCAACCTCTACAGAGCATAAAGCAGGGCTTTTCAACCAGTGCTACGGGTAGCACCTGTGGTACATTGGCACCTGGCAGGTGGTATGCAACCACCCTAAAAAAGTGGTGGTGGGGGAGGGGAATGAGCTGAACCAGTGGCAGCACCACACAAGCCTGAGTGAGAGACGGCTGGAGCTGTAGGGCTGTCAGGGCTCAGTGGAAGCGCCAAGATCAGCGCCAGGCTCCAGCTGGAGCTCAGCACTGATCCTGGCGCTTCTGCTGAGCCCTGAAGAAGCACCAATCAGCTGGAATGTTGCTTTATCTCCAGGGTCTTGTGATTTACATTTAGATGCTTGGCAACTGATTAATATTTATGATGGTCCAGTGTTCCAGCAGTAAGAGATCAAAACCTGCTGCAACCACCCAGCAGACGGGGGGGGGGGGAATAAAAACCAAACACCCCCACCCCCCCACCCCTGCTGCCAATCCTCAACAGAAATGCTCACAACAATGAAAACCTCGGACAGGAGGAAGAGCATGGCCGGGTGGGCAGGCAGGTGTCTTGCTCGGCTGTGGCTTGGGGGGCACTTTTTTCAGTGCCATTGTAACTTCAGACAGTCACTAAGCGAACTGTTGTAAGTTGAGGACTACCTGTACTTCATAACTTTTTTCCTTTTTTTTTTTTTTTTTTGGTCATCAAGTTTTTGACACCTCGCTAGGTGACTGGTGGTACTCGGATATTGCCGTATCCTAAAGTGGTACAATGGGTGAAAAGGTTGAAAAGCCCTGGCATAAAGTTATACCCAGTGTTTCTGCATGTTTAATTGCTTATATACTCTTTATGTGAATTTGTGGACAAATTCCAAATAAGAAAACAGTATTTTTTTTTTTTTTTTTTTTAGAAGTAGGGATATATTTGAGTGGAGCAGTAAGATTTTTTTTTTAAGTGTAAAGTTGTTAGAGGCCCCAAAAGGTAATTGGCAAATAGCCAGATTTGGCAGTGAACAAATGTTTTTACCTTTCTTATCTGTCTGGTGGTGAGTGTAAGATTCTATCTATTTTCAACAATGATGGGGCCCTTTAAGCAGCTGTCTTAGAATTTGAAATGAAGATAATTCACTCTTCCAGTGCAAAGAAAGGCTGTAAAAAAACACCTCTGAATATTGCCAGCTAGCAGTTTCAACTGTGAGAAACATTGTTAAGAAATGAAAGCTACATAGAGCTTGAAGACAAGAAAAAAATCTTTGCTGGATCTGCAAAAATTTTGTAGACCTTGCAGGAGACTAAACGTCAGCTAATACTGCAGTGGCTGTCTATAAAACAGCATAGCTTATATGAATATGATCTACACAGCAGTATTGCCAGACTCTCTGTCCTCATCTAGAACAGCCTTCTTAATAATAGTTCTAGAACTACTGAGTTCAACACAAGATCATCAGAGGTTCCACAAATTACTGTGATTAAAGAAAATGTTTTAACTTTTCATGTTGCACAATGCAAGCTGCAGATATAATTTTTATGTAGAAGTTCAATTATTTCAAGGGTTCCTCCAGGGTAAAAAAGTTGAGAAAGGCTGGTCTAGACCATATCGCGGTAACTTGAAACATTCTGCAATAGGGTTCTTTGGACTAGTGAAACAAAACTTCCATTATCTGACCACAACAACATTTGGAGATCCATTTTGAGAAAAAAAGGTGAAGTGTTTGAAGAAAAGAATGCATTGCCAATGCTAAACACAAAGGTACCTCTATTACTTTGTGGGGTTATGTGGCACCAGTGCCACATGAAACATTGTGCAAGTGAACAGAAGAATGAAATTGACTAGGTAGCAACATATCTTAAAACTAATATTTCATAATATTAACACTTAGGATTTGGATTGGCCTTTCAATTATCAGAATTAAATATATTGAAAATCTTTCAGGAGATCTCAGAGATGCAATATTTCTCAACAGATTTCTCCAAGGTAGAATGGGAAAGAAATCCAAAAGCAAAATTAGAAGAACTCTTATTTGGCTGCAGGAAATGTTTGGAAACTATTGTTTTTGCTCAAAGAGATATTACAAAGTCCTAACTATTAGGGTGTCCAAACTGTTTAGCCACATTCACTGATCTCATAAATATTGAGTATGTAAACAACTGCACAAGATAATGAATATGCATTCAAGGAGGAAAGTCTTTTGTGCCATGATTCCTGCCAGAGATCAAATTGGCCCTGATCCTGCTGGCTTTCTAAACACCTTGAAAACATGATTCTCTCAATAGAGATGGAAACTGGGAAAATGCTAGAACTGGCACTATCAGTTGGTATCATATTTGTAGATGTGATTACCTCAGCTGCAAATTTGATGAATTTTTATGGTGGTTTTTAATAGGTTTTTGTATTAGTAAAAATAATTTTAAAAACCATCATGATAAACATTTTTTAAATTCTTTGGGGGGTTTTTTGGTTATTTTATATGGTTTAACTGTTTGCAAGCCCAGCGACCCACATACGCATAGACACACATAGACAGACAGACAGACAGACACACACACACACGCGCGATAGGTGGTTATATACATTAGAATAATAATTCATAATGTAATAATAAATAGGAAGTCAAATAGTTAGGAAGTCAGGGAGAGAATAAATAAAGAAAAAAAGTTAAATTTGACACAAGGTATTCCTAGCAATATATCTCTGAAGCATATGTTTGAGAACTTGTTGGTCACTAAAAATGGAGAATCTACAAATCTGCAATCTATATTCATTGTGTAGTAGAAGATGTCAGGGAATTATATAAAATTATACAAAAATATAATTTTTTGCAATACTAAAGAATTTGTTGAAGTCAATTTTTACTGATGTTGAAAGGTATCATTCATCCAGTAATGCTTGGTCAATAACAATTCCTGAACGATTACTTTTCATTCTCATAATTTTTAGGAAACCTTAACACAAACACCAGTGGACTTTCTTACCTCATTTCAAATGTTCAACAGCACGTATAAGCTCTACACACACAGGTAAGTGAGAAAATAAACACAAATTCTAAGATATATTGCTTTGTGTCTGAAAAATTCATCTAAATAATTGATTGTAGATAAATTATCTTTCTCATATTATACACAATAATTTGTGCATTACTGTAAAAGAGCCATATGCTGTTATTTTGACACTGAGATCTTAGAAAGCAACAAGAAAGTTATTTGGCATAATATAATTTATATCCAAATTTGTAAAATGTTCATACGGTGCCTTGCTTATTAATTATGTGTTCCTTATCCTCCCATATAGCTATTTGGGGCTTGGGCTAAAAGCTGCTCGGTTGGCAACATTAGGAGCTTTGAATTTGGAAGGTATGGTCAGACAAAATAACTATTCTATATGCAGCCCAGCAAGTTGTATTTTTTTGGCTAGTGGCTAATGCTTGCTCTATTCTTATTAGAAATGAATTGCTAAGATTATTGAAACCACATTATCTCCAATGCAGTATTTTGTACAAGGAGGAAAGTTGACACATTATGGGTCCGGAATGGGCTACTTGCAATCCATGGCCTGCAGGGAACCCCCACAATTCCACAGTTCTAGCCAACTGACCCCTTATCCACCAATTCATACTAATAGCATTTGACACCAACTCGCAGTTTTTCAGTGCTTAATGGAATTTGTTCTGTCTTGTCCTTTCTCTCTAAGATTTCTTTTTTTGTGTGTTAATGGCCAGGATTAGAACTCTTGCACCTTTTTTTTAACATGTTTTTTCTTATTGGGCCTCTATACTTCTTGTCTTCTCTTTTGGACCATCCTCGCCTTCAGATGGAAAGGACAACTCCTTTTCTCTTTTGGCTGCTGTACTCAGTTTGCTAGTGGATGCAGAGCTCCAAAACGTGTGTCTACTCCCATAACTGTGTCAGGATTTCTACTTTATGGACAACTCTGCCATGCTGTTGCTAGGGAAAAGCTTAAATGGGAAAGAAAGAAGGCATGTATTCCAAGCAGACTGCTCTTCCCCCCAGCAACACTTCTGAATTGGATCCTTGACTCACAAACAAATTGCTCCATGACCCCCAGGATGTGTCCAAGTTATCCCCCTCCCTCCAACAGTCCAAGAGCCACTGGTCTAGTGAATAAAGCATCTTCCATAAGAAAATGAGTGAAGTCTTCACTTCCACTTTTCCCACCCAAATTCATATGTTTGCAATTAAAACCAAATTAAAAGAGTATGTGCATTTGTGTATATGTGTGTTTGTGTTTATAAACCAATTTTTCTCTTCCAAATTCTCTCTTGAAGCACTTGGACAGACATTCAGAAGTTCTTGTCTGCCAAAACAGCTGGAAGCAGAATGGCATTTTGGTGGAGTAAAATACCAGTATGGCGGCAACACAGAAGGTAATTTAAAAGGATACTGCTTTCTAGGAAAGTTTCTTTTTAAAAAATGAACTAAATAGTGGGTATATTCATAAAAGAAACAAAACTAGAAATGAGGCTATATGAAGACTGTAATAGTCTTAAGGGAAGAACTAGACTTTATGATTCATGTCATGCTTATACTAGTGTTTTTATTCTGGCAGGTGACACTGGATTTCAACCTTGTTATTCTGAAGTATTGAAGATTGTACAAGGAAAATTGCATCAACCAGATGAGATTCAGAGAAGTTCCTTTTATGCCTTTTCCTATTATTATGATCGGGCTGTGGACACTGACCTGATAGGTGAATAGTAAATGTTTGAAAATTTGGAGGTTAACACTATAACCTCCAGAAGCAATTTGCTTATTTTTTACTCAATATCAAGATAAAATATCAGTGGGGATTATTCCAGTGTTACTGTACTTCGATGGCCATATAAATTGTATTAATACATTATAAAATTATACAAATAACAACTAATATATGAATCTGTTAAACAAATAAGGCAATAGCCGACAAAATATCAGCTAGAAGCAAGGTTAACATTAACTAATTAAGCAGTGTAAAATAGATAAATCTTTTAAACTTTCCTAAAGGATAGCAAAATATGTGTTTTGAAAAATAAGAGCCCTTTGGAAACAGCCATTACATTTGCTAAATCTCATAGCTGTCAAAAGAGCAGGGCTGCAAGTGACTTCCTTGGCTACAAGGGCAAGAGCTGAGGGAAGAGGGGAAGGGAAGATAGTGATTGGGAGTGGGGCAATTTGCTACATTGGGACCATCAATAGCAGATGCATTGAGAGAGAAAAGAGGAGAAGTAGACTTTTTTCAACTGAGAAACCTATTTTAAAAGGAAGCTATAGGGCCTGGGTGTCAAACTCGATTGCGTCACATGACATATCATGACCTTTTTGCCTTTGCGGAACTGGGGTGGGTGTGGCCTGCACATGACTCATCTGGGCTGTGGGTCGCCAGTTTGACTCCCATGCTTAAGGCTCCAGGCATGTAAGAAACTTATGGAGTTTGGATAGTCCTGGGGGATAGTCCTGGGGGCACAGAGTGGTGCCCACCCTGCTAAAGAAAAATACACCACCAAGGCTGCATCATTCCAAAATTTTAATATGACATAAAGAAAAAGCTATACATTAAAGGGAAATGATCATACTTAAATTTAATCTTAAAGTAAATTTTGATTTTGGGGGGGGGGGGGCTTTTGATATGTTCAGTCTCACCCAAAAAAGTTTCCCCTGCATTATGGGAAGAAAATGTGAAAGAGAACTATGCAAGAAATCTGTCCTTTTGCAGTTGTAATTCAAAAACCTTTAATTTTTTTTTAAATGATCATTATTCATATTTTAACTGATCTGGAAGTACTGTACAATTTGAAATACAGATATTATGTCACAGCTATGGTTTTTACAGTAACTTTTTCTTAGTCAGACGATAGCTTTAAACTTTTATCATTTCAGATTATGAGAAAGGTGGTGTTTTACGTGTGAGAGACTTTGAAAGAAAAGCCAAACAAGGTAAGATGAGTTTGACTTTGTCTGGATTCCTTCTTGTTAGTTTACTACCAATTTGAAATAATTCACTTTTTTTTTGTTTTTATTTGGCTATCTTGTGTTTACAGATTTTTAATCAATTAACTGTCATGTTTAATATGCTTAAACTTGAAATACTAATATAATTATTTGTAAGAGATAAGACAGTTTAATGATTTCACCGAATAAAAGAAATCCTTGAAAAAAGTACGCTGCAGTGAAAGAAAACCAATTGATAGGCATTGTAAATTCAACAATATTTGCCATCTTACAGGGTCACATTTCATCTTTGTATATATTATATATTATACGTGTTTACACACATATATCGTAGTAATACCCGCTTTGTGTTAAGTGAGGAGTAAATGATCTCTATATAGTTTAAATAGACAGTAATATGTCATCAAGTAAGATTAAGGAATTAGAAAGAATCTATGGTTATATAACTCTAGCCCAGGGGTAGTCAACCTTGGCTCTTTTATGACTCGTGGACTTCAACTTCCAGAATTCCTGAGCCAGGAATTCTGGGAGTTGAAGTCCACGAGTCATAAAAGAGCCAAGGTTGACTACCCCTGCTCTAGCCACATTCATTAGTGCATTTGAACTTTTCCTGAGTTGTCCCAACCCAGCATTTGAAAGCCATTCCTCCACATGGCTAGAAGATATAGGAAAAACAAGGAGCCAAAACCATAGCAGCCATGATCAGCAGTAAACTAGTATTAAGCAAAACAGTTTCTGTGGTTTCTAATGGTTATGTGTGTTTATTTTTCAGCAGCTATTCTAAATGTATTGAATATTCTTCTCTTTTTTCATTTAGTTTGTGATAACATGGATAACTATAGCTCTGCCAGCCCCTTTTTATGTATGGATCTCAGTTACATTACAGCTTTATTAAAAGAAGGCTTTGGATTTGGAGACACTACAGTTTTACAGGCAAGTAAAAATTGCAGGATCCAACCTAGCACTTCATCCCATCTTAAAATCTTAATAGAGATCAGTCACCTTATCTATAAATTCAGTAGATAATTCAATTAAAATGTATTTGAATGCCACAAAAAAAGTGTAATCCATCTATCTGACAGATAAGCTTTTTTCTTTGAGTTCTCATTCAGAACAGGTTTAATCTACAGTTAGGAACTTCAAATGAAATAAAGGTACTTTAATTCAGTTTTTCTTAACCTAATGCTCTCCATTTAGATTTTTTTAAATCCCCACAGCAATTTTTTAGAAATAAGAGGACTTGGGAATGTAGAATTGCCAAGATGTTCAGAAGACTCATCTAATCCTAGTCCATCCGAGCATCTGTAATCCAGATGCCAGTAGGAACTCTATACAGACATGATACTATAGTATCTTCTACTCCTGTTTCCTACTATGTGGTATTGAGGACTGCTACTTCAGTTACAGAATCATTTGCAAATAATTTTTGTGGCTGAGTGATTAAGATATCAACAGAAAGGTTGGCAGTTGGAGATCTAAGTACCATATAATAGAGCTAGCTCCAATTACTTGCTCCACTTCCTACCAATTTAGCAGTTCAAAAGCATGTAAATGCAAGTAGATAAATAGGTACCACTTTGGTGGGAAGAGAACAGCATTCCGAGCATCTTCCAGTTATAGGTGTGCTGGCCATATGAGCACAGAAAATGGCTCTTCGGTTGTGAATTGGAGATAAACACCATTCCCTAAAGTTGGACATGACTAACAGGGGAAACTTTTACCCTTTTTTTTTTACTTTAGTTACAGGATCATTTGCAAATAATTTATTAATATTTTTAATAAGGCTGTTCTACATGTTTGTAACATTTACATTTCTGGATAATATTGTAGTCAAAACCTGACATATCTAAAGCAGCCAAATCACTTTGAAGATACAACATAATTTTATCTGCATGCACATTAGCAACATATACTGGACCTCCAGTGAAGTTTTAATACTTTGCGGAGTGGCCATGAGCAAAAGCTTAAACCAGGGTGTATATACTTTTCATCCACTACAGGTAGTCTTCTACTTATGATCACAATTGGGACCAGAATTACTAAGCAAGGCTGTTATTAAATGAGTCATACCTGATTTTAAAAATCTTCCCATGGTTGTTAAGCAAATCACTGAAACAGTTAAGTGAATCATGCAGTCATTAAGGGAATCCACTTTCCCTCATTGACTTTCCTTGTCAGACACTGCCTGGAAGGTTGCAAATGGTGATCAGGTGATCCCAGAATGCTGCAACCATCATAAATATATGCCGGTTGCCAAGGGTCCACATTTGGATCACATGATTGTGGGGATACTGCAACAGGGCAAGGACCTGTAATCAGTCACTTGTTTTCAGTGTTGTTATAACTTTGAATGGTTGCTGAACAAATGTTTGTAAGTTGAGAACTAACTATACATTGCAACAGCAAATAAAGAAAAAGAGGGACACATTGGAAATATTTTCGATAAACCCATCGTGTGATCTTAGTATTTATCCCTTCCTGCTAAGTCAGCAGCTAACCATGCTATCTCTGAGATATGATTAGTGGATAGAAACTATTTGGTTTACTTGACCTCAGGTTCTTGATCAAATCTTCCTGTTTGCAAATCAGGGCCACTTCAGCTTGAATGTTTTCTTACAAGAGCCCTAATTAGTTCATATGGGAGCCTATGTATCCCATAGGCTTGATAGTGAAGGTAGTTTATGTATATAGGGTGATGGTAGTATTTTCTGCCATACAAAAAAAGAATACAGTATATATTCATGCAAGTACAAGTGAAGGTCTTATATATTCAAGTCAATACTTGAAGAAGACTACCGTACCGATTGTCATGAATTTGATGCTATTAAGCTTCTACTCATTTTTTTAAAAAACTATGCATAATTTAATATACCTCAATAGAATCTGTTTCCAAGCCTAAGCTAAAGAATGACCGGGTTCTTCACAGCAAATCCATCTTACTTTCCTGATTATCTGATATTCTTTTTTTGAATGGCGATCAAAACTGACTCCAAATGTTGTTGAAATCTTGCTACATCTAGGACAGGGGTCCCCAACCCCTGGGCTGTGGACCACTACTGGGCCTTGAGCCTTTTGGAACTGGACTGTGGAAGTGGTAGGCGAGAGCTTGTGCATGTCTCCATTTGCATAAGCATTGTGTGAGCATGTGCACATGCACTCCATTTGCAGGAGCCGCGGGTGCTTAGGTCAGTCGCTTGTACAAATGGAACATGGATGCGCTTGCCTGCCACTCACATGAAAGCATCCTTTCTCTTCCCTCCACCGGTCCACTAAGCTGGAAAGATGGGGGAACTCTGATCTAAGCTACCACTAAATTGAAAAATATTGGTATAGTGCAGGGGTGTCAAACTGCCGGCCACAGGCCAGACGCATTATCGGAAGCTGCGCCCACCCCATTGCCGGCAATGGCAAAACCGTCCTGATACATTGCGCGACATCACATGACGTCGCGGGTTTGACATGTCTGGTATAGTGGCTGCTTTGTAATTATGATAACTGTCAGATCCATGTAGATTCTTATTTTTAAAAATGTATTTAATCTAAAAAATGCCTGTACGATCAAGCGAATCAGGTCTCTTTATTTTTCCTTTTCAGCTGGCAAAGAAAGTAAATAACATAGAGACAAGCTGGGCTTTGGGGGCTACCTTTCACCTTCTACAGTCTCTAGGACTCTCCTACTAGAAAAGCAGAAGATTTGCATTTCTTGCAAGAGCCATTCTGATGAGCACATAATAAAATATAGACCAAAGTAGAAGAAAAGTTTTACTTTTAAGAACTGCAGTTCAGCAGAAACCCTTCTACAGTGGTAAGATCTAGATACCTGATGCCAAAGAACTTTGAAACAGTTTAGGCATCTTTTTTGTCAAGTCACGAATGCATATTTGGTACCAGCACATCCCAATGTTGAACTTGCTCCACGAGCTCTTTTATCTATGAAATACTGAATGTTCACATCAAAGAAGCAGCTTAGTCTGATATTTTAAAAAAACAGCAAAACCTAAGTGTATTATTTACCTTTCCCACAAGTTGTTTGAAACCAAGTAGTTATGCTCCTAGGGTTAGCCAGTTCTTAAACATGAATAAATATGTTATTTTATTCAATTACATATATATTAGTTGGTGAGGAGTATTAGCAAAAAGATTTTAGGAATCCCACAAGGAATTATTTCAGGTGTATTTTTCTAAAGTTGAGAGAGCAAAGTCCTGTGAAACTGTTCTTATTTATGTTAGACAACAAAGTTTTCTTAGGTTAAATAGTTGTAACTTCCTCCAATGTCAACTCTTATAGAATAACTTAATGGAAGCCCTGAATAGCCTCTTTTTTAAAAATTCTATGAAAATCAAAGCTTTTTTTTTTAACTACCATATTTCCCCACCCACCCCCTGCCCCAAATATATATTGGTTTGGAGACAAGGGGCAGTTAGATTCCAGCAGTTAGACTCCGGCTAGTAGATTGATACATTACTTGTTGCAAAGCACTTAACTGGATCAGAAGGTCTCTTCAAATGATCAAAACAAACTAATCTCCTGAACTATGTACTAAGTGAGCCATCTTAATATTCTGCACATATTTCTATATAGTATACGTTTTTTCCAAAAACTCTTCAAGATAAATGTTAAAATGTGGTGATAACATACATTTTTAGTCAAGTGCTCTTACTCAATATTAGTAGTGTCAATACTTTATATATTTACTCTGAAATGACTCTTATTTAAGTACTAATCGGAGGGTTGTCTTAGTGAATGAGGCATGATGCTAACGTTTGTTTCCTTTGGTGATGCCTTTACTACCTTGGTATTAGTGCCTATGCTTTTTCTAATGTATTGAGATTGTTTACAAATGTAATTATCTGCAAAGAAGATACAACTTGAAAAAGATACAACTATATAATTCATAGAGGAAGAGTTAATGAAATAAACACATAACAGAGGACTAAATTAATTACTTTTTTAAAGCAAAGACAAATAGGTATATAAATATTATTAACATCAGGCAGTTGCTTAATTAGTAATTTATATATAAGTAGATAAAATTAAGCTAAACTGTAAATGGATTAAGTTCCCTCCTAACACATGCCTATATATGTAGCACTGTATGTAACTGTGAAATAAATTTTAGATTTTTTTTCAGAAACAGATTTTATTCTGAAATTATTTGTCAGAGGACAATATGACTATCACTATTCACTTAATCATATTCTTGTTACTTGGTGCTGTAATAAGAATTACATGGATATTCTCAAATCTAGCTGTTTGATACACAAAATGCTAGGACACATTTGAATGTTTGTTTTAATAATTAAACTATTTCACCAATGTTCTTTGGCAGTCTGTAATTGATATTCACTCAGGTAATCTACTTCTTAAGGTTATAATCAGCAAGCAACATCTACCTCGTCTGTTGCTCCCTCCAAGACAATAAGGAGAAGCTCATGAGTTGAGAAGCAGGTTGTACTTTGTTCAATACTTGAACCTCAAATTGTTCTTTACTATGATCATACACTTTTTCCAGCAGTAGTCCTTTTCTAGGCCAATTTTTATAGCTTAAAAAACAAGTGCTATTGAATAGTTTTTGGAATTCTAAGAGAAAGCCAAATAATCTATTCACTGGAAGAAAGAGCAACTTCAGGCTGAATAAGGAAGTCTAACAACCTTATACATCTCCTTAATGCATTTAAGTCTTTATAATATATAAATAGATACCCAGCTATCATGAGTGAGCATGTACCTCTGGATTCACAAGGTTGTCACTTACTGGCAAATGCCATGATCTGCTCCTAAGGGATGAGGGAAAAACAGACATCTTACTCAGTATTCTATTACTTCTACCATTATTCATAACCATGAGGAGGTGATTTCTTAAGGGGAAAGGAAAATCCATACCAAAATAATTGTTACTTTCCTTCGCCTTAGTAGTTTTTTACAACTAGATTAGATGATACTCTCTTTTTTCTAACTTCCTATTTTTCTAATTTCCTATTAAGTTTTCGCTGCCAATGATACCAATGAATGAAAATAAAATAAATACAAGTAGCACAGTAGATCTGTTGAGGAACTATCCAGTATCCTGAGCTCTGATAAATCGTATATATGGCAGAGTGTCATCAGAGATCCTTTCCACAGATGTCTAAAGAAGACCCCTGGTGTAGTTTCTTTATCCGTGGTTAAAAAGAATAGTACTGTATGTTCTACATTGCATTTAATAGTCTCTTAACCAGTTTTTTGATGTGTAGTTTGATTTAAGTCAGGTCAATTACACGAGTCCTTGCTAGAAATGTTTTCACCTTAATCAGGGCAACAGCAAATTGTTTTATTAGCAAAATTAATAATAAATTAACTAAATAATTGCAAAGTGTGTGGTCTATAAAATAAGAGAAAAGAACAATATGAATCATATATAGGTGATATGTGGTGTGTCTTACACATAAGATTATAGATAAATCAACCTTCCTCTCTCCATTTATGGAAACTTAATGGTATCTTAGGAACTGAAATTAAATACACCTGGAAAGTACCAGGTGGGAGAAGGCTGATAGAAATACTAGTTAATTAAATATAAGGATTGCAAGATGATAGCAGAGATATATAAGATTCTGTACAACCATACAGCTGAGATCTACTAGTTTATTCTAACAGCCCATCCTCAAATCAATACCGCATGCGGAAAGGAGATAAATGTTCAGGAGTGCTACTGTCTAGCTACAAACATGCTCCTTTCCATTAGTCTTCTTCTTTAAATGAATTATCACATTCAGTTACCTACTTTAAAAAGAGAGAGAGAGAGAGAGATCTTACTTTAACCGGAGGTACAGCATTGGTTATTTGCAATCCCCACGTCCTCAGCAGCACAAAAGGAGCCATATTTGTAGAGTAAAGCTTGCTTAACAAATCAGTTGCCGCCACAAGAGAAAGATTGTGCCTCTGTCTATCTTTTTCATATTGTAGTAGATGATTTAAAGAACCTACAAAGTTTATTCTGGAATTAATTAATTAGTAAATTGATTATCCTAAGGAAATCAGAGAAGACTGGCATCAGACTACAAAATTACTCAATCTGATAAAATGAAAATGGTATGGAGGGGGTAATGGCACTCTTTGAAGATTAACATTTCCACCTCATGGCCTACATTAGAGTTCCCCAAACTTTCTGGCTTTGCGGGGTGGGGGGGGAGAGGATGGTTCTGCGCAAGCGGCAGGCTAGTGCACAAGTGTGCAGCTTCATTTGCACAAGTGGTGGGCACACTTGCCACCTCCACAGCCCGATTCCGAACGGCTCAAGGCACCCTTAAAATTATATTAGAAGCACTTTGCTTTGCAACATGTATGTGTCTTTGTTTTTAATTAAAATAATTAATCAAAAAACAAACCCACATTGACTCCAAGAGAGCTGGCCATTGGCACACCAGATGTTTATGACAATGCCCTAAATTGTTTCATTGTGTCATATACTTACCTAGGTCTTTTCCTTTGAATGCTGCAGCACTTAGATAATTTGTCAAGCATGAAATATCACCAAAACCCATATTTACACCTTGGCCAGCTAAAGGATGTACTCTGTGAGCTGCATCACTGAAATGAGAGGATAGTAATACTTGACACAAAGAAAAAAAACAGTCTGGTTCACGGTAAAGAGACACAACTCTAATTCCCTATATTTCATATTCTGCAGCATTACAGAATGCTCTTAAGCAATATCCTTAAACATTTACAGGATGGACACACACAAAAATTGGATCATATAATAGGGTTTTCCTAGCTCTTTTCCCCCCACACAGTAAAAGCTACTTCCACAGATGTCAATATATCAAAATGGAAAAATCAAGAGGAATGTGGCCAGATTGCTTCTATACAAATAAGATGACACTAGATTCTATTTTCTAGCATAATCTACTAATCCTAATTAAGAAAACCCTTTATTATATATTTATAATAAATATATATATGTATGTATGTGTGTGTGTGTGTTTATCAATAAAAACATAGAAAAAACAAATACCAGGATAAAAATAAACAAGACCGTTTAATATAAACAAACTTGTAAGTAAAAGAGGTACTGAACTTTCACCGGCCAAACTGCCGATGTCATCAGAGTTGGAACGCTAGGTGATTAGGGAGCCTGCCTATATAGCTGCCTGTCTCTGCGCCCGGCTTCTCGAGTGCGTCATCGGCCCATTGATTGTGTTAATCTGCAATGTGCTAAGTTGATTTGCATCTGGCAGCCTGTTGGTGGACCCGATAGTTGTGTTCAGATCCTCCACTGCTTTTCTAGCACGCATGCGGGCGCCTAGGGGGCAGCTGTCAAGCTGTCTCTGCTCCTTATCTCTCTCCCCTCTCATTTCGGAGCGATCACTCAATCTGCATTTCAAACACCCTGCAGCGCTGTCATCCTCCCCTAAGGCCACTGTTGTTTCGCCCATAGCTCCCTCTCCCCAATCCTGCGAAGAGCAACTGTTTGAATGTTCCTGCTCCCTATTCCCCCCTTTTTCTCTCTCCTTGAGCCGCTTCCGCACGTCCATTTCCAATACCCGATCTTGACACATTGTTAGTTTGTCATCTCCTCCCATAGCAGCCATTGCCGCCTCACCTGTAACCCTGTCGCTTCAGTCTTGCCAGTTGCTATCTCGTTGTGGTGTCCCCTGCCCCCCCTCCCCTTTTGCTGGTTCGCTGTCCTCCCTGGGATCGCAGCTTCCCCATTTGTAAAGCCATGGTCCTGCTTTTGCACCGTGCGGGATGGCCATCTGCTCCATGGATTGCAACGTTGTCTCTCCCACCTTCTAAGAGTCTGGTACGCCGGTAGGAGGTCTATATGCCGGTTGATGACGATGAAAACTAAGCAAAGAGTTTTGTTTGTATTTTATCCTGGTGTTTGATTGTTTCTTTTAACTGTATGTATGTATGTATGTATGTATGTATGTATTTATTTATTTATATGTGTGCATATATATGTATGTATATGTGTGCATGTATGTGTGTGTATATATATAAAACAGTTTATTTTTGTCATTCAAGCAACACTAATATCAAAACTCCATCATACTCCCAAATGTTATTTACAGCACTGAAATTTCTCAAAGTAAAATTACCCAATAAGGGCCACACGATCTTGGACATATTCTGTTGCATGTCCCAATCCAAGAGGGAATACAGCTCGGCTCTTAGGATCGACTTTTGCAACACTTGGGGGCAGCTGTCGGGCTGCAGTTCCCGATGGCATCAAGAGAGAAACAGCAGATCGAAACATGGATGCAGCAGTATCAATGAAGTCCGAGTGATTTGCGTTGCTCCACTGAATAATGATAAAGATTTATTTGGTAACTATATGCCACTAATTGACTCTGAAATTGACAGCTGATACTGAAAATCCAGTTTTAGAATAACACTCCTGCCTAGCATTTGAATTGAATAGCAGACACAAGCAGGAAATAGAGTAAATAAAGTATGTTAGAAGGAAAATGTATTCTTTTTTTAGCCCTGTTTCCAATGCTCTCAACATTTCTTGCATGCAGAATTCACAGCAGCTCATAAAAAACCTTCAATAAGTCTAGAAACAGAACAACCTCAGTTCTTGTGTGGCATCTAAGAAACACAATGACAAGATAAATTCTGATTCATTTATTTTTGAGTCATGAATAACAAAGTTGGAAGGGACCTTGGAGGTCTTCTAGTCCAACCCCCTTGCTCAAGCAAGAGATTATACCAGGCATGTCAAACTGCCGGCCCGCAGGCTGGATGTGTCACACTGAAACTGCGTCCACCCCATTGCTGGCAATGGGGAAAAAATTGTGGTATGTTGCACGACATCAAATGACGTCGCGGGTTTGACATGCCTGCTTTATACGATTTCAAACAAATGGCTGTCCAATCTCTTCTTAAAAACTTCCAGTTTTGGAGCATTCACAACTTACGGAGTCAAATTGTTCCACTGTTTAATTGTTCTAACTGTCAGGAAATTTCTCTTTAGTTCTTGGTTGCTTCTCTCTTTGATTAGTTTTCATCCATTGCTTCTTATCCTGCCTTTAAGTGCTTTGGAGAATAGCTTGACTCCCTTTTCTTTGTTGCAACCCCGAGATATTGGAATACTGCTGTCATGTTACCCCTACTCCTTCTTTTCATTAAACTAGACATACCCAATTCCAGTAACCGTTCCTTATATGTTTTAGCCTCCAGTCCCCTAATCATCTTTGTTGAGCGAGTTAAAGGCTGTAAAGGCTGTATAAATTAATGATTCTTCCAGTGGCAATCTTTTTTTATCCTCAAAGGCCGTGGGGTAGGTAATATGAGCACTAATAAATATGTCCATACACAAATATCGTCCTTCTGCCCGTCCCCACAATCATGCCAATATTATGGGAAGGGGAATATGGAAATGACACACACAGAAGCCCTGTGAGAATAACCAATAAGGGTGAAGTTTTGAACTGAACAAACAACTGGCAACAACACAATTAATAAAGTTATGTTTATAGAATATCTTATAGATCTTTAGGCAGAAGTCTAATTTAGGTTAAACATGAGAAAGCATGGAACCTGAGAATAAGGAAAAAATAGATTCTTGTATCCAACTAGCACTAACATAGTTTCTAGCCATAAAAATTATTCAAACATATTGCTACTCTTGAATACTTGTTTCTCAGAGAACATCAATAATCTGCAATTCATAAAATGAAAATACTCACAAAAGCAGAGTTGACCGAGTCCACAAAATTTTCCTCATCCATACTCTGAAGTTGAACTGCATGTTCATGTGATGTGGACCAAACCAAAGAGCTGGTTGTATCAGAGAGCTGAGTTGATAATAAGACACAAGGCATCTCCTCAAATGCATATCACTGCAAGGATCTCACCAAAACCTAACATATGGTCTAACATCTTAATAAAATCATGAGAGGCAGTTAAAGGAGAAAAGTACATTCATAAGAATTTTAAAAAATGCTTACTGTAGTAACAGATTTGTCAATTATTAACTAATGGAAAACAAGAACAAAAGACAACTACTAAAAACTGGGTCAGATGAAAGTTACAAAGTTCTTTACCGGGAGAAGAGCAATTGGTCCTGATGGAAGAAATCTCTGCCATGCCACATTGTTATCTGTTGCCTGCAATGTATGAAAGACAGTGACGATTACCAATTTTCTGTTGTTGGTTCTTTATCTTCAAAGTTGTAGTTTGATATTCCAACATCTAACCTCAGACAAGTGAAGAGTAGCAACTACTGCTGACTGATCATACTGATAGTGAATATTCTGAATACCAGCTGCTTTCCGGATCAAAGAATTTTGGCCATCCGCTCCAATCTGCGAAGATAATAGAAATTAAAATTAATTCTTTTAACAGATTTAATGAAAAAACAAATCCTCCATTAAGAAGTATCAAAAGCTAACTAGACAAAGGGTGAAGTTCAGTAATGTCTGCCCGGTAGCAAGGGAGGCATGCCTTTACCCCTGCATCTTTGTACACATCTTTCTCCATTATCTCCTCTAAAGACTCTGTCAGAACAGACCCAGAGGGTTCACATGGGATAGTAAAAGAGAATGAAAAAATTCTCAGTACATCAATCCACTCCTGTGAGTTCTAATATTGCCTATTAGAACCAAACTTTCTCCTCTTGCATGTGCATCTTACATGTAACCTATTTACAAGGACATATAAAATGGATACTCAAACTGGCACCATATATAACTTCAGAATAAATACATTTAGAATCACAACAATAATAGTTTCAACTCACCTTTCAATCCCTCTCATGCTGGTAATATTGCACAACATGACATTAGAAGCAAATCCAGTAGAAAGGACTAGAAAAAAGATGGTGCCTAATCAAATAGAAAGTAGTATCTTAGTTACCAGCAATTTGGTTTGAAATCTGCGTCCATCTGCTAAATCAATTTGGACCCAAGGACTTGAGTCAGAAGATTGATGAACAAAGGGCCAGGTATATCCAACTGCTCTGCTCCTGTAGAGAACTTTCACTCGGTCTAATAGGGGCAAAATGTATCAATTTCATTAAATAAAAGAGAAGCAGTGAAGAAATAGAATTCTGAAGCCAACCAACACCAAGCCTTACTAGTTGAATTAATATTTTAATATCTTAAGAAGGGACACTTCCATACTCAAAAATAGCAAGCCTCAAGAAGCCTATTGTTATAATCCAGATTTACTGGACAAAGGTTTCATGGCTTTCTATGGCATTATCTACCCTATTTTCTGAAAAAGGCTAAAGTAAATCAAAATTAAAACAAACAATTGCTACCTGAAACTGTATCCAGCTGTTTGTGTAGAGCTGACATGATAACATCATTCTCTACTATATAACCCATGTCTTCCAGGTTATCATTTTCAAACATGATCATGGCCTCAGAGCAAGCATCCCACACCTACAAAAAGAAATTCTCTATTTAAATGCAGCAAAGAAATGCATAAATATCCCTTTTATCAAGACTTTTCATTGACAAAATTCAGCTGCTGAATTGTCTTGCAAATACATATTAAAGATATTAATGTTGAAAAGCAGAAGGCATTTAAAAGTGAGAAACTTCAAAGGTAGCACTTCACATATTATTCCCACAATGGTTTGTTAGAAGACTGAGCAAGTGGCAGGGCTATGGCATACTTCCTGAAGGCCTAAATTATAGGGAATATTAAGTAATAGAGAATACAGGATATTTCTTTCAAGAATATAGAAGGGAAGGATTCACAAAACAACTTTATCATTCCTTTCTAAGTACAGGATTGTACCAAATGATGTCTTTTCATTAGCAGAATAGTCATTACTAATTCCTCTTCATATCTTCCCCTCCACGATTTCCTTTACAATCCCCAAATCCACAGCAGATTTGGCAATTATGATGAGGGATGAGGAGGAAGGGGAGAAATTTATTGGGTGAGAGAATATCGATTCACATAACACTGGATGTGGCCCATGGCTTTACAGCTTTTCTAAGGGGTTTACAGAGTCAGCCTATTGCCCCCAACAATCTGGATCCTCATTTTACTGACCTCGGAAGGGTGTAAGGCTGAGTCAACCTTGAGCCAGTCAGAATCGAATTGGCAGTCAGCAGAATAAGCCTGCAATATTGCATTCTAAGCCATGCATCACCATAGCTTCCTCCCCAGTAAAGAATAATTATTTTACAATTTTACATAAATTCCTGAAAAGTAGGGCTGTGTAATGATTTAATTCCAAAAAGGTGCTTCAGAGCACAAGCAATGAAAATGTAGCATCTGTCTGCAATTATTTAAAATAATGGCATCTCTGCACAGGTAACAACCGCACACAGGTGCTATAGCCAAACTCCTGAGCTTTATAAAGAAGTACTTTATATGTCTGAAGCACTGCATTGTGCTGCTCAAATAGAATGTATAATACATATACACTGTAGTTCAGAGTTCCCCAACTTTTGGGGGTTGGCCCAAAGTGGGAGGGAGGGGGAAAGAAAGGATGGTTTTGAGGGGGGGGTGAATGCATGCACGCGCGCAAACACCCATTCGTTACACAAGTGGGGCCATTAGTGCTCACGAGAATAGGGCCACAAGCCTCCACAACGCTTGCACCAATACTCACGTGAGTGGGGCTGTGCACATGTGCGCACACACGTGCACTGGACAGCCACTCACACAGCTCAGTGGCCAATAGATAGACCACAGCCCTCAGGTTGGGGAACCCTGTTTTAGTTACTAAGAAACAAAGTAACAAAGTAACTTAAGAACCCACACAACCTATTATTGCATATTACCACAGACATAGACTTTATTTTTTGCATTATCAGGCACCTGCATCCTTCTAAAAGGTTTGATTCTCATATTGCAGATATGTTCCCATGCACCAAAGCCTAAAAAAGAAAGAAAATAATCCTATAGTATCAAAGATTAACTCCCATATTCCATGAATGTTTAATGGGAATTCATAAGAGCCAAAGAACAAATAAAACTGCCAACTATTATCTACTTTTTTGCAATGGTCTTTGTTCCACTTTATGGATTTTTATAGCTTTTGATCCAATTTGATTCTGATCCAATTTGATCCAATTGTCATCTATTGAGAAGACTGACAAAGGCTTTAAAGGATCTTGTTTTTTTGCAGCTCTCAACAGAATAGCCAATAAGATAATGTTTCTATTATTCCAGAGATGTTTGTAGTCAAGAACAAAAGGTATTTCACAAAGTATATTAGTAGCTATAACCAAGTTTAAGACACTGACAAATGTATTATATTTAAAGACTTTATATTCTAATTTACAGGATGTCTTATATAAAGTTAAGATTATATTAATATAATTTAAAATAAATTTAAAAGCAGCACAATGGATTTCAATCTACAATTTTTGAAACTTACAAAAACTACAAATCAACCCATTGAAATAACCAGAATATAGTTGAAGTATGCACAAAATCGTATTTTTGTGCATATTTCAACTGTATTCTGGTGCTAGAAGGCAGTCAATTAGGACATCAATAATATATATTTTATGATTCTAGTATCAACACTGAAGAATCATGGGGCCAGAAATATAATAGGATGGCCATGATTCTTAGACCAATATATAAAGAACTATATAAGACCACATTTCAATGGACAGAAATATGTGAATATGAAAATGATTTTTAAGTAGCATTTAATTAATATCTCTTAAATTAATATTCTGCATAGGATGCAAGACTCTATAATTTCATACCAAGCATCAAACTCAATATACCCATTCCTTGTTTGGCAACTGCCTCAGTTAGTGATCATTACAAATACTACAGTAATGAATAGCAATAAAAAAAACAATTTCCAGCCAATGTGTACATTTATATCCAAATTTCATGGGCCTGACAATTCATGTTTGAGAATATAATTAATTTTTGCTTAATGGCATAGTTGTTGGAACAGAACTTGGTTACTACACAAGGAGGGTGTGTATGGCTACACACATTCACAGTTGGCATACAAGTAACTGGATAATGCTATACTTACTACTTAGAAATGTGGCAGATCCAGGCGTGATAGCACTGACTCTGTTACTGTAATCTGTTGATATATTCCTAATTTTTTTTTTGGGACGAGCTTCTAGTAGTAGAATTTTCTTATCAGAGAGATGAACATCATGCCCTTAAAGAAGCAATCAGATGTTTAACTATTTTTTTCCAGAAAAGTTTAATCTAGTATTTTTTTAAGATTATAAAATACAAGTCTTTAAAGGAATAGACTTGTTTTGGATTTTTTTCCTGAACACTCAGAATTGCTTAGTACCCTAATTCTGGTAAAGTATCTGGAGGATATATCAGAGTTATTCCTCCATCTACATCACAGGAAAATCAGAAAGAAACTTGGGCTGAATGAGAGAATACTGCACAATCGATCTTCCTGAAGATGTATTGTCTATAACTATGTTGCAACCAAATATATTTTTTCTCCGGTCAACACAGACCTGCTACATACAACTCTGTACAGGTAGCCCTTGACTTACAATAGTTAATTTAGTGACTGTTTGAAGTTACAACAGCACTGAAAAAAGTGACTTATGACTGTTTTTTACGCTTACAACCACTGCAGCATCCTATGGTACATCATTAAAATTTAGACGCTTGGCAACTGACTCATACTTATGACAGTTGCATGTCCCACTGTCATGTGATCAACTTTTGCAATCTTCTGACAATGGAGAAGCCACATTCACTTAACAACTGTGTTAATAACTTAACCATGCAGTGATTCACTTAACACCTTGGCAAGAAAGGTCATAAGACTGGCAAAATTCACTTAACAACCATTTCATTTAACAACAGAAATTTTAGGTTCAATTGTGGTTGCAAGTTGAGGAATATCTGTATTGCCTCTATGGAAGTTGTTTTCAATCTTTTCTTCACCACATATCCCCTTTAATACCTTTTATGGCAAGGACCATGGCCACGGACCACCAAAACTTAACTCAAGATTTAAATCATAGCATTTCTTTAAGCTTTTGCGAACCCGATGACAACACTGTGTCCCCTGAGGGGTCTGTGGACCAAAGGGCAAAAAACCATTGCTCTATGGTTTCAGTTTAGCTTACAGAACCTTTATAATTACTAAAATGTAAAGCTTATGTAACTTTTGTACTGTAATATCTAAACTTGAAATTATGAATAGTTATAGCTATGAATTTTTCCCTTTATAGAAATGTGACATGTTTTTTGAAGCAGCTCAACAGTTGAACAGCCAAAAATGCAGTAGCTAATTTAATTCTTTTTAACTTTATTGTGCAGCTTGTATAAACCACTCAGAGTCTATTTCAGTTGGAGCAGCATGTAAGTCCTGTAAATTAATTAAAAAAAGTTTGCGCTAATAGACCTATATTTCAGTATCCAATACATGAAAACTGTTTGTTGAATGATATAAAATCAGCTAAACCTACATATTAATAGAACTGGTCTTCAAATTGCTATTGGGAGATGCACACTCAATCATGCGACAAACTTTTCATAACAATTCTCTTGAGTATGTAGAAATATTTATAAGTTACCGGTCACAATAATCACTTTAGGCCTAGAGAACCAACCCGATTCTCTGGATTAACATTCCCCAAACTGGTTCTCTCGGCAAGTATTGGGCAAGAATTCCCAATCGCCATGACAGAGGGGGATCAAATTAGGGAAAGCTGTGGAGACTTAAAATAAATAGGGATTCTTGCACACTTCTGGGTGCCTTTACAGAGGTTTATTGCCAAATGACCAATCTCATACCAAGAGCAGCAGCCATGGCGGCTCCCACCATGCCGCCGCCCGACACCACCACATCGTATACTGCGTTGGAGCCATTACTTCTCACTGAACCCTGCCGCGACAGATACCCGACAGGCCCGGCAAGGAAAAGAAGACTCTTCCTACGATACAGTCCAGCGCCCCGATCCAACCATAATCCCACTACGGCAGCCATCGCTTCGGAAATGACGAATTCGTCTCTCTAACTACCACTCGTTACCGGAAATGTCTTCACGATTACCATGACAATGGACAGGTTAACAGAATCTGTCCAATGACATCACATCAGGGGCGGGGCGTAACAGCACGGGACGTTATCATTGGCCATTTTGGGAGAGAAACAAAAAAAGAGAGTGGCTGTTGGTCAGGGCATTAACAGCAAGGTAAGCGTGGAGCCGTTTAATATTGACGAAGGTAACAGCAGTGGAAAAGACATGACGGTGTCGGAAGTTGCTAGTGGAGCCCAAACTAAGTCTCCTGAAGAAGAACCACAACGGGTAAGCAAACGCAACGGGAAGATGAATCGTGGATTGTTTAGTGGCAGAGGCAGCTTTAAGTCGACTTGGTTTTTTCCATGATTGCTCTTGCGAGGTTTCCTCTGGCTGCGTTAGCCACACCCTTGGAGACCAGCTGTGTGAAATGCATCATAGCTGATGCCATTAATTAGAGAAATCCACGGTAGCTGGTAAAATGACATGTTTCACCAACTATAAAATTGGATCTAGTTAATGCAAGTGGTATTATTATTAATAGTAGTAGTAACCCTAGCTGAATTTGGGGCCTTATTCTGAAGTCCTCGAATTACAACAGTTCATTTAGTGACCATTTGAAGTTACAATGGCATTGAAAAAAGTGATTTATGACCATTTTTCAGTTACAACCGTTGCAGCATCACCATGATCACATGATCAAAATTCAGACACTTGGCAACTGGCTTGAATTTATGATGGTGGCAGTGTCCCAAAGTCATGTGATCCCTTTTGCAACCTTCTGACAAGCAAAGTCAATGGGAAAGCCAGATTCACTTAAGAACCATGATACTAACTTAATTGCAGTGATTCACTTAACAACTGTGGCAAGTAAAGTCGTAAAATGGAGCAAAACTAACTTAACAAATGTCTCACCTAGCCACAGAAATTTTGGGCTCAGTTGTGGTCGTAGGTCGAGGGCTACCTGTATGCATATATAGAAGTGGTAGCATTAAAGAGAATGTGATATCAAAGTAGATTACCTTGCAGGACAGTAGTAATTAATCAAATCAATGCCCAGTTGAACCATTTGATAATCAGTATATTTGAGTATAAGCATCTTTTCTAAAGTTGTTCCTCTACTTTATATTTTGGTTTTACTGTTTTGTTTTGCTTAGGTATTTCCGATTAAAGTGGAGTCAGAATCAGAAGTGGAACTTTGTAGTAACATCACTGGAAATGAGCTACTGGATTTTCTTAAGCCACAGCAAGACCAAATAGCTACTTCAAGTTTATGTGATCGGTTTTATGATTCAGTTCAAGATCTCAAAAGGAAAAACAGAAAAAGTTTGTTAGAATTAGGACTCTTATATCAAGAAAAATTAAAAAATGATCATCACTCATCCATAGAAGACAAGGAACTGGAAGATTTTTTCCATGGCAACAGAAGACTGATACTGCCAACAAAATTCCATAAAGATCTGAGGTAAAATGGGTGGGTTTTTTTCTTTCATGGGATTAACAAATTATACTATACTAGACATCCACTGCTTTGTCATTTCAGAGATAAAAATTCCAGAGATTCTTCCTGGGTTTTTCAATAATTTTTATTAGGGATTATACTGAGCAAATTAAATTTATGCAACTATAAAATAAAAAGATACATTAAATAAGATAAAAACATTAATAGGTGCAGAAAAGGGAAAAAAGATAATAGAACAAGAAAAAAGGACTACTACCCCTTCATCCCCAGCAAATATAATCAATATTAAGAACTTATCAGTGTATCTTAAAACCAAACAGCTCTTTATAATCTTGCCCAAGATACCTCCAAAATCTCATCTCCAAAACCTCATCCCTTCCTGTGAAACAGCAAAAGTCCCCCTAGGGGTTATCAGAAATGATAACGTAAGTATTACAGACTGTATCTATTATACCCACTCTGAAACCTCCTTCCCTTTTAAACTTTCCCCTCTCTATTTTTTTTTCTTCAAATAATCAAAATTCAGTCACTCTAAATATTATTTATAATTAATTAAGCATTACCCCAAATAACCATTGTCATCCAGCCCTAGACAAGAAGTCATTAAAATCCCTCCAAATAACAGCTCATTATTTTAATCTTGGTCAAAGGGATTATTCCAAAGGTGCTTTTTCACAAGAAATTGGACTTTCTTGTTTTTCTTTGAAGACATTTCACTTCTCATCTACGAAGCTTCTTCAGCTCTGACTGAATGGTGGGGAATGGAAGGATTTATACTCCTTACAGACAGCTGGTCATTTGCATTCTTTTAAAGAGTCATTAAGGCCACCTGGAGGTTTATCTGTGTTGTCAGGGTCACCTGAGTAGTGCAAATGGATGTGGAGCGTTCTTGGAACTGCTGAAAGGTCTGTGCTGTAGACTGGAGTTAGATGATATAGTATCCCTCCCCCTCTGTTGAGAGAGGGTTGTTCAGTTTTGACATAGATGGCCTCTTTGACCCCTCTTTCAAATCAGCGGTCCTCTCTGTCCAAAATATGGACTTCGCTGTCTTTGAAAGAGTGGCTTTTGTCTTTTAAATGCAGATGGACTGCTGATTGGTTTGTTCTCCTATGTTGTGCCATGCGTTTATGAAGTGGTTGTTTTTTTTTCCCAATATACAGATCTGCGCGTGGCTCACTGCATTGTATATAAACAGTATATACAGTTAGCATATGTGCAGATCTAGTGGAAGTTATGGAGTAATGGTATTACATAGGCATATTGAGATACATCTATGACTATATAGTATGTGCCGTTGCATTTTGCATTAGATTAATTGCAGATACTGAGTGATCTTCAAGAGCATCCCTATGTAGAATGCATTTCAGGAATCGATCTGGGAAGTTTAAGTGACTGTAAGCAGGGTCTCTTGTCTAGAAACCATACAATTACAAGATAATATTGTGCAAAAGCCTTGGCCCTATCTGCCATCTGCTTCTCAAGTAGGAATCATGAGTCCTGGAGATGACTGACCTTACCTAAAGTTAATGTTGGAAAATCATTTGATCCAGATCCTATGGGGCAGAAAACACACAGGTAGGTTGAGTCTAAACCTATTCTTCCCCATCCAGACCTCCTCAGCCACCAGAAACTGGAAAAGCACCCAGATATTACTTGGTCTGCCAAAAACAGATATGTGCAACTAATATTGTCAGAATTCTGATGATAGTGGTCCTATGCTAGCAGATTATATTATTAGCAGCTTCAAATAGGTGGTGATGGAAAATGGAGAGACTGAGAGCTAGTTGTCTGATCACGCACATCTTCAATACCTGATTAAATCTTAAAGGAGGAGAACAATTATAATATCACAGTTCCTATTCTTAATTCCCTGAAGATACTACAGTCAATGGTATTGAACATTGAGGAGAAAAGAAGGAACATCTTTCTCCTCTCCAAGCCTGTCACAGATCTACAAAAACATATCTAACTGTCTCAGTGATTTATCCCAGTCTGACAACAGAGGCCCTTGGAAATTATACTTCAATCATCTTCCCTAAAAAGAGAAGGTTGGCTATTGGATGAAAAATGTCCAAGTCTGCTGGATCCAGCAATGATTTTGTGAGGAAGATCCAAGCCACCACCCCTTTAGCAGTTGCAGAACCACCTCTTTTCTCAAAGATGTATGCACCAGCACATGAATCACACATTACTTCCTCCGAGGCCCTGATCAACAAGGGGGATATGGATCTAAAACACATCTGAATCATGTGGTTGTTAAGCGAATCTGGCTTTCCCCATTGACTTGACTTGACAAAAACCAGCTGGGAAGGTTACCAATGGTAATTACATGGTCCTGGGACTGCAGATGTCATAAATACAGATAATCCTCAACTTACGACCACAATTGAGTCCAAACTTTCTGTTGCTAAGTGAGATACTTAAGTGAATTTTGCCCCATTTTATGACCATTCTTGCCACAGTTGTTAAGTGAATCTCTGCAGTTGTTTAATTAGTCACATGGTTCCCTAATAATGATACAATTGGGTGAAAAGGTATGCCTGGCTTATGTATTTCGGGGCATCCATAGAAGCAAGGGAGAATGGGTCTACTGATTTTCATTCACCACTGTTCACCACTATTGTTTTTTGTGATTTGATCTTTTTTTATTAGGTTACGTTTTTTTCTTGATCATGTTGCTTAGTTTCTGTATTGGGTTGGATTTACTGGGATGTATGTTTCTTTGTCTTCCAGTAATTCTTTGGCTTTTGAGCGAATATTTTGTACTGTAATTTGTAAATAAAGTATATTAAATGAAACGTTTAATAAAATCATACACAGCCTTGAAAATATTAATTTACTTAGCTTCATTTATGTAATGTAACTTATCATCTGTGTCTTTCTTAACATTTTTTTAAATTTTATTCTTAGGTGTGGTAACATAAGAAGTTGGAACTCTCTGTCTGATATCACTTTAGGTAGCTCAAAAGAGGAGAAAAATCATTACTCATTTCTTCAGTCTTGTTCAAAACCAAAGAGTGCCTCAGCTATAAGGGTTTCCTCTTTTACCATTCCTCAGCCCTTCCGAATGACCCTTCGAGAAACTCATAAAAAATCTCCATTGCTAAAATCACAGGCATTGCTTGAGAAAGAATCATCTACATACAAAAGACAATTGCAAGAGGTCGCAGAATGTCAAAAACAATTTAGAGCACAACCTGTGCCTGCTCATATCTATCTGCCACTCTACCAGGAAATAATGGAAAAGAATGAAACCCGTAGACAAGCAGAAACTCAAAAGAGAAGGGAGCTACTTCTTTCAATGCAAAAACCCTTCAGCTTTCAGATAAAAGAAGAGAAGAGAAAAGAGGCCGTCAGACAGAAATTTCTGAACATTTTAACTCCAGCTAAGAAAATAGTACCAAAGTTCAGGAAGAAAATCCCCAAGTCCACATTTGAGCCAATGCTTGGGGATAAACTTGAAGGTAAAGATTATATCCTCTAGGGCTAGGCCAGGGGTAGTCAACCTTGGCTCTTTTATGACTCGTGGACTTCAACTCCC